TCTCACTGATCTCCTCCAGCTCTCTGGCCAGGTCTGCTCTCTGCTTCTCCACCTTGGCTCGAGCAGCTCGCTCTGCCTCCAGCTCTTCCTCCAGCTCCTCTATACGGGCCTAGAACAAACACAAGCTACTTTTATAATCTTCATTATCCTAATAATTTTTAACATCATTTTGAAGTTTTTTGTGTGAATTTTGACCTGCAGCTCCTTCAGTTTCTTCTGGAGTTGGGCACTCATAACTTGTTCATCCTCTATTTTCCCGTTCAGCTGACTTATTTCAAAATCTTTCCTAAAGATGAAATGAGTCAAAAATATAAAAGGTATTTTCTAAATCTAGCATTCTTTAGTTACGACTTCTTACTTCTTCAGCCTCTCTTCAAGCTGCTGCTTGTCATTCTCCAGGTCCATGATACTTTCTTGGGCCAGCTTCAAGTCTCCTTCAAGCTTCCGCTTTGCTCTCTCCAGGTCCATACGGATTTTCTTTTCTTGCTCTAAGGACCCTTCAAGCTGCAGAGAGTTGTTAAAGAAGAGAATTTGATTAACTTAACTAAATAGTTTTTAGTCCACTTAATTGTGTAAACTCTCACATCGTCCACTTGCTGCTCCAGCTTGGCCTTGGCCTTGGTCAGAGTGTTGACTTTGTCTTCCTCACTCTGCAGGTCATCCAGCGTTTGCTGATGAGCTTCCTGTAAGGCTTTCTTTTCCTTGGTCAGCTTGGCAATGATTTCATCCAAAGCAGCCATCTCCTCTGTCAGGTTCTTGACCTGTAGCCAGGAACGACTTTTATTAGGTTTTCATAGAATAATCAGAAAATCGTCACTAATTTCAGTAAAGTAACGCGTGTCTTTAGTACCTTGTTCTCAGTGGCATGCTTCTCTTTCTCTACTTTTGCCAGAGTGAGCTCTAAGTCATCAATATCCTTCTTTAACTCGGAGCACTCATCCTCCAGCTTCCTCTTCTTTCCAGTCAGCTCAGCATTCATCTCCTCTTCGTCCTCCAGCCTTTCAGTCAGCTCTTTGATTTTTGCTTCCAGCTGAATCTTGCTCTTGATCAGACCCTCACAACGCTCTTCAGCATCAGAGAGATTATCTTGCTCCTATAATTTATTACGTGGAGTGTTGTTATCATACAATGAGATGATGGTGATGTGAACAATAATCTGCTATAACGTACAGTCTGGACTTGGAGCTGCAGGTCGTTCTTCTCTTGGAGAAGAGAGACCATTTTCTCCTCTAGTTCCTTCCTACGAGCTTCAGATTTCGCATAAGCCTCCTTCAGTTTGGTGAATTCTTCCTTCATGTTGGCCATCTCCTTCTCGGTCTCTGCTGATTTCAGCAGAGGTTTGATTTTGAAGTACAACTTCATCCAGGGCCAATTCTTGACCCCCATGAAGGCTCGGATGTTCCACTGGATCACAAGTAGTGCATCTCTGTGTAAAACATTTTGTAAAGATTATGTCCTGCTGTCATGCTTCACACTGACCATAAATGTTGAATAACAACTAATCCAAGACCATTAAATACACTTCTTTTGTAATTTTAGTGATGGTGTTAGCCTATTAATCCATCCATCTATTCATCTGTTCTCATCCGCTTCTTCGGGGTTGAGTCACTGGGGCCATAGCCTAAGCAGGGAGACCCACATTTCCCTCTCACCAGCCACTTGGGCCAGCTCCTCTGGGGGAATCCTAAGGCATTCCCTGGCCAGCCGAGAGACATAGTCCCTCCAGTGTGTCCTGGGTCTTCTTTGGGTCTTCTCCCGGTTGGACGTGCCTGGAAAATCTCACCAGGGAGGCGTCCAGGAGGCATCCTAATTTGATGACCAGGCCATTTCAACTGGCTCCTCTTGATGTAAGAGAGCAGCAGATCTACTCTGAGCCCCTCCTGGATGCCACCCTGCAGAGAAAACTAATTTCGGCTGCTTGTATCTGTGATGTAATTCTTTCAGTCACTACCCAAACTCAGCACCTTGGCTGCATCTAATCCTGTCCACAAAAGTTATGAATAGTATCGGTGACAAAGGGCAGCCTTGGTGGAGTCTAACTCTCACCAGAAACAAGCCTGACTTACTGCCAGCAATGCAGACCATGCTCTAACACCAGTCATACAGGGACCTAACAGTCAGTATCAAGGGTCCTGGTACCCCAAACTCCCAGAGTACCCCCAAAGGGCTCCCCAATGGATGTGGTTGAACACATTATCCAAATTCACAAAACGCATGTAGATTGGTTGGGAGAAATCCCACGCACTGTCCAGGATCCCCCTAAGGGTATAGAGCTGGTCCGGTGTTCCACGACCAGGACCAAAACCACATTGCTCCTCCTGAATCTGAGGTTCGTCTATCCGATGGACCCTCCTCTCCAGAACCCCGGAATAGACCTTACCAGGGAGGCTCAGGAGTGTGATCCCCCTGTAGTTGGAACACACCCTGCGGCCCCCCTTTTTAAAAAAAAGGGGACCACCAACCCGGTCTGCCAGTCCAGTGGGACTGCCCCCGATGTCCACACAATACTGCAGAGCCGCATCAACAAACACAGCCCCACAACAACCTGAGCCTTAAGGAACCCCGGGTGGATATCATCCACCCCTGGAACCTTGCCACCAAGGAGTTTTTTGACCACTTCAGTAACCTGAGCTCCAGAGACTGGAGAGTCCAATCCAAAGTCCCCAAACTCTGCTTCCTCACTGTAAGATGTGTTGTTGGAATTAAGGAGGTCTTTCACAGGGTATCTGTAGGTTTAAGGGAGCCAAATTTAAGACTTTTTAAGACCTATTTTAAGGCCACTTTGACCAAATTGAAGCTACTTTTTAAAATGTTATTTAAGCTATAATTTCCAGCTATTGCCTGAAACCGGTGCTAACCATGTCACGAACGTGGGATTAGCCATCCAGTTACCATTAAACTTGCACTTACCCATGGTGCAAGCTCCCACTAGCTTAACCAGCTAATGTGCTCATCTAAAATAGCCCCCTTTCACAACCAACTGAATTTGTACAGTTCCGCTTATGCAAATATGATACACATAAAATGCTGAACACTAACTAGAAATTCACGAAGATTTTATAGAAATAAAAATATCTTGATTATTGGGTCTTTGGCAATTTAAGACCTTTGGAACCTGTACTTAAGGATTATTTGTCATTTTTAAGGATTTTTAAGGCCTTAAATTTGGAAAGCCAAATTTAAGACTTTTTAAGGACCCGCGGATACCCTGTTTCAAGTATTCTGCCCACCGATCCACAATGTCCTGAGTCGAGGTCAGCAGCACACCATCACCACCCTAAAAATCTTTTTAGATCCACTGTGTTGGTAGTGCACTGCTTTCCCCTCCTGAGACGCTGGATGGCGGACCAGAATCTCCTCGAAGCCGTACAAAAGTCTTTTTAGATGGTTTCACCAAAGTCCTCCCATGCCCAAGTTTTTGCCTCCGCAATCATCCATCACATTCCGCTTGGATCCTCCGGTACGCATCAGCTACCTCTTGAGTCCCACAAGTCAAAAAGAGCCAATAGAACTCTTTCTTCACCTTGACAGCATCCCTTACCACTGTGTTCCACCAGCGGGTTTGGGGGTTGCCGCTACAACAGGCACCAATCATCCTGCCACAGCTAAAGGAGTCATGGCACAGGGCCTGCTCAGACTCAAGGTCTCCCGCCTCACACGGGGCACGTTCGAAGTTCTGTCGAAGGTGGGAATTGAAACTCCTTCTGATAGGAAACTCTGCCAGATGTTCCCAGCAGACCCTCACAATGCATTTGAGCCTGCCAGGTCTGACGTACTCCCCCACCATCAAAGTAAACTCACCACCACCAGTGGTCAGTTGAAAGCTCTGACCCTCTCTTCACCCAACTGTCCAAATCGATCATCAAGCTGCGACCTAAGGTATCCTGGTGCCAAGAGCCCATGTGGAACCTTTATGCCTGAACAAGGTGTTCATTATGGACAATCCATGATGAACACAGAAGTCCGATAACAAAACACCACTGAGCTCAGGTGGGTCGTTCCTCCCAACCACACCTCTCCAGAACTTGCTGTCATTGTCCACATGAGCATTGTAGTTCCCCAGGAGAACAAGGGAGTCACCGGAAGGAGCACCCTCCAGCACCCCCTCCAGGTGCGCCTCGTGATTTTTATCTTGAGAGGGACTATAGAAATGATACTTTCTTCTTCTTCTTCTTCAGGTACTCCAAAAAGGCCTATGAATTATATTATTTACTCAAAGCAGCAATCTGGAGTTTTCCTCCTTGCAGGAATTATGCATGAATGTTACGCCAGATAGCACTGTTGATTAAAAAAAACTCCTGATTTCTGTTTGGGAATATGTTTGTAAATGTATTTGCATAAAAGTCTGATCTTCCTCACCTGCGTTCCACAATTTTTTGGAATTCAATTCTTGCAAGAACACCTCTGGATCTTGCTTGGATTCTGGTTATAATTAGAGCTAAACGGTCGTCCCTCATTTCCTCCAGTAGACCGAGAAGTCCAGCTTTGAAGAAAACCTAATTAATTCAAGCAGGAGATGAGTGTTCATGTTTTTCTAACAAGTTTAAATAAATAGGTTATTTTGTACATGAATAGCAAAATGCACTGACCTTGGTGTGTCCCAGTTTGTACTGATTATGATCAATATCTAAGGAACCTAAAAGCTTCTCTGAAGCTTTCTTGTTATCAATGAATTGTCCGTCTGGGATGGCACTTGGGTTCAGGATTCGATATCTTTTAAAAAAAATCAATGATAACTTCTGTTATTTTTCATTATGTGAAATAAAAACACCAAATCTTCTGAACACTAAGGCAACTAAAAGCATCTCAGAAGATATTCTAATATCTACCACATACCAAAAACTCCAATTCTATTTTTTTTATCAATTCTTATACATAAAACGTACTTTTTTAGAATAGTGTTGGGGTACCTCGCAGGAACATCTAATGTTTAAACTGATCATTTCTTTTTGTATTCTGATGACTCGTCTGAGACGTACCTCTGCTTGAAATCTCCGTAGAGGATCCTGTTGGGGAAGCCCTTCCTGCAGATCCGGATGCCTTCCAGAACACCGTTACAGCGCAGCTGGTGCATCACCAGAGGGTTCTCCATGGCCCCAGGAGTCTTGGTCTCATTGGGGATGATGCAGCGTACAAAGTGGGGGTGGGTGGACCTCAAGTTGGTCATCAGTTTATTTAGGTTCTCCTGAGAATTCAACACAGAAGTCAACAATTTATATTTATGTGACTAACAGCACCGTTGAAAGTGTTAATCAATATTAATAAATATTAATAAAGCTCCATACCCTGTGAAGAGCAGACACAGTTTGGAAAGATGAACCTTTCTTTGCCTTTCCTTTGCCCTTCCCAGAATCCTGAGCTAAAAAAACAAAATTTGTTGTAACTTTAAACAAAAAAAAACCCTATGTATCTGCATTTTTTGAATGATAATAATTAATTGAGACATTACATTTGGATAAAATACCTGTAAATGAAACATTTTGTCCACTAGACTTCATAAAGGTAAATATCAATTGGAGCTAAGATAATATATAAAGGTGAGACATATGAATAGCAAGTAAAAACCCAGTCGGTTTTCAAAATAAAATATTAGAAAAATAGGTCAGATAGATAGATAGATAGATAGATAGATAGATAGATAGATAGATAGATAGATAGATAGATAGATAGATAGATAGATAGATAGATAGATAGATAGATAGATAGATAGATAGATAGATAGATAGATAGATAGGTAGGTAGATGATAGATAGATAGATAGATAGATAGATAGATAGATAGATAGATAGATAGATAGATAGATAGATAGATAGATAGATAGATAGGTAGATAGATGATAGATAGATAGATAGATAGATAGATAGATAGATAGATAGATAGATAGATAGATGATAGATAGATAGATAGATAGATAGATAGATAGATAGATAGATGATAGATAGATAGATAGATAGATAGATAGATAGATAGATAGATAGATAGATAGATAGATAGATAGATAGGTAGATAGATGATAGATAGATAGATAGATAGATAGATAGATAGATAGATAGATAGATAGATAGATAGATAGATAGATGATAGATAGATAGATAGATAGATAGATAGATAGATAGATAGATAGATAGATAGATAGATAGATAGATAGATAGATAGATAGATAGATAGATAGATAGATAGATAGATAGATAGATAGATAGATGATAGATAGATGATAGATAGATAGATAGATAGATAGATAGATAGATAGATAGATAGATAGAAAGATAGATAGATAGATAGATAGATAGATAGATAGATAGATAGATAGATAGATAGATAGATAGATAGATAGATAGATAGATGATAGATAGATGATAGATAGATAGATAGATAGATAGATAGATAGATAGATAGATAGATAGATAGATAGATAGATAGATAGATAGATAGATAGAAAGATAGATAGATAGATAGATAGATAGATAGATAGATAGATAGATAGATAGATAGATAGATAGATAGATAGATAGATAGATGATAGATAGATGATAGATAGATAGATAGATAGATAGATAGATAGATAGATAGATAGATAGATAGATAGATAGATAGATAGATAGATAGATAGATAGATAGATAGATAGATAGATAGATAGATAGATAGATGATAGATAGATAGATAGATAGATAGATAGATAGATAGATAGATAGATAGATAGATAGATAGATAGATAGATAGATAGATGATAGATAGATAGATAGATAGATAGATAGATAGATAGATAGATAGATAGATAGATAGATGATAGATAGATGATAGATAGATAGATAGATAGATAGATAGATAGATAGATAGATAGATAGATAGATAGATAGATAGATAGATAGATAGATAGATAGATAGATAGATAGATAGATAGATAGATGATAGATAGATAGATAGATAGATAGATAGATAGATAGATAGATAGATAGATAGATAGATAGATAGATAGATAGATAGATAACAGCAGTATAAGTAATACATTAAGAGGGTGAGAGACATCCTTCATGATTGCCTTTTGCAGTTCAGATGGGCGAGGGGGGGGGTGGGGTGATCCAATTATTTTTGAAGCCTGGATGATTAAACGCCAAAGTTAGGTAGGAAGTTGTACCAAGATGAATTATTGAAAGCAAGAACAGATTTAATGAGTGATCTGGGAAGCAGTGGTGAAACATCCTTGCTAATGTGAAAGGCTCTGAGTAGCCTTACTAAATAGAGGCGCTGCTGTGCCTTCTCATAGACAGCATCCACATGCTGCATGAGAGACAAACAGTTATCAGTCTCTGTCCGGATACGAAGTGACTGAAACAGCGGTGATGGAGCCCATCCTTTGGGTTTGGGGCCACAACACAGCTCTTTCGTTTTTGAGCCATTCAGCTCCAGTGACTTTTCTGCTAATTACTGAACCAGTCTCTGGACCTCTGGAAGATAAATCTTTGTAGATCCACAGCCAACCCTCTGATGTAAATCTTCTTAAGTGGATTAAACATTGACCAACACTATGCTCTTATTGATAATACCGAATAATACAAACCTGATTCAGCTCCTGCATAATTTGCAAAGAGTGTAGCGAGCAGTTTGAGGTTTGACTTCTGGTACAGCGCAACAACGGTCTCATTTAGAGGATCCTTGTTCTTCACCAGCCAGTTGTTGATGTTATAATCAACAGTTCCAGCATAGTGCATCAGGGCAAAATGGGCCTCTGGTTTTCCTTTGATGATTCTTGGCTTCTGGAAGTTACTGGACTTCCCCAGGTGGTTGTCATAAAGCTTAGCTTTAAAGGTGGCATCGCTGGCTTTGGGAAACATGCACTCCTCTTCCAGGATGGACATGATACCCATGGGCTAAAACCGAAAAGCATAAGTTTAGAAACAGCAGATTTGTACATTTATCATAACGTTGTCTCACCTTTTCTATCAGATCGATGCAGGCCTGCAGATCCATACCAAAGTCAATGAAAGTCCATTCAATTCCCTCCTTCTTGTATTCCTCCTGCTCCAGCACAAACATGTGGTGGTTGAAAAACTGTTGCAGTTTTTCGTTGGTGAAGTTGATGCACAGCTGCTCGAAGGTGTTGAACTGGAAGAGAAAATAGTTTTTTTTTTGCATTGTTCTTTCATAAATGTTGTGTTGGCCATTGCAAACATTTAGTATCAAACTCATCCTGCTCACATCAAAGATCTCAAATCCAGCAATGTCCAGTACACCAATGAAGTACTGACGGGGCTGCTTGGTGTCTAAGGACTGGTTAATCCTCACTACCATCCACAGAAACATCTTCTCATACACCGCCTTAGACAGCGCTCCAACAGCATAGTACACCTGAACAAGGTAATCATTATCAGCAACATCAAAACTAAACTTCCTTTTGTGTTCAATCAAACCACGACACATACCTGAGCCACATTCTGTCCCTTGGTGACCCACTCGTTTCCTACTTTCACTCTTGGGTGACAGAGACCTTTGATGAGGTCGGCAGAGTTCAGACCCATCAGATAAGCTGCTTTGTCAGCATCTTTAGAGAATTGGTAACATTTTAACGTTATTAGTGGCACGGGAGGTTCAGCTGCATTTTCTGTTATTGTAACTTGTATAAATGTAGTCTTTTACCTTCAGTGCCGTCTGCCTCTGCCTGCTCTTCTCGCTGCTTCTGCTTAAACCTCATGTTCCCATGATGCATTATGGCACCAGTGAGCTTGTACATACTGTTCTTTTCTTCTTGAGTAAAGCCCAGCACATCAAAGGCTTCCTGCACAGTAGATTATTTTTGTTATAAATATTCTCAAATTTTGAACTTGTTTCATGAATGCAGTTATTCTGATGGGATGATTCAACCCACATCTGTGGCCAAAAGCTCCTCAGAGTCATTGATGGAGGCCACTGTGGTCTCTCCTTGGGAGATGAAGGCGTAGTCATAGGGATTGTTGGTGATGAGCAGCATTTCTATAATTAGAAAGAAGATATTTGGTAAAAAAAAAAAAAAAAAAAAAAAAAGTTATGACTTACTTTGAAAACACAAATTACTTTGCACACTTACCCAGGAGTTCAGGCTTTACTTGAGACAAGATCTGGTAGAAAATGTGGTAGTCCCTCTCGGCTTTGAGCTGGTAGGTCACACGTGACTTTTCCAGAAGATCTGTCACAGAATTATTTTGTTCTTATGGGCAAAAATTAATGTAGTCAGCTTTCAAACGCGGGACCTAAATCTTGGTACTTACACGTCTCAATGTCAGCAGAGGCCAGCTTTCCTCTGTTGTCAAAGTGAATTCTGATGAATTTACCCTAAAAGAAAAAGAAACATTTTTATTTACTTGCTTGTATCTCCAAAACTGTTTAACCCAGCCTCACGATCACTCACAAATCTGGAGGAGTTGTCATTCCTGATGGTCTTGGCATTCCCAAAGGCCTCCAGAGCAGGGTTAGCCTGAATGATCTGGTCCTCCAGGGTGCCCTGAAGTTAACACAACATCAGACATGCTGGCAACATTGAAGAAAATACTTAAAGAGTAAAAACTTATAGAATTTGTCTTCCAGTTAATAATATTGTTTTTTATTAATTAATCAAATGTAGAAGAAACCTTCTTCTCAGCAGCACTGTCTTTCTTCCCAGTGGGGACAGAAGCAATGCTGGCAAAGTATTGAATGACACGCTTGGTGTTCACAGTCTTTCCAGCTCCGGATTCTCCACTGAGTGAAGGTAGACATTGTTTTAGGCTGAGATTTTATGACTTATGGCTGCTGAAAAGATTTTAGAGTTCAGTGAGACTCACGTGATGAGGATTGACTGGTTTTCTCTGTCTGTCAGCAAGAAAACAGATCAAATGAGGGACTAATAACACCAGTGCAATAGCAGTTTTCACATGTATTTTATGTACCTGCCAGCATGTACTGGTAGGCATTATCAGAGATGGAGAAGATGTGAGGAGGAGCTTCACTCCTCTTCTTTCCTCTATAGGCAACAACCACCTCTTGGTTATAGACTGGCAGCCACTTGTAGGGATTGACCGTCACACAGAACAACCCAGAGTAGGTCTGACATGTCAGAGAGAGAGAGAGAGAGAAAGAGAGAGAGAGAGAGAGAGAGAGAGAGAGAGAGAGAGAGAGAGAGAGAGAGAGAGAGGAAACTAATAATTACTTATTCAGCAAAAATATTTCATCGATGAGTAAAAAAAGCACCCGAACTTGAACTCACATAGATCATCCATGCTGCGTAGCGCTCTTTGAGGTTAAACAGCACAGCTGGCTCATGGAGGAAGGTGAACATCGCCATGTCTTCAATTTTATCAAACTTTGGTGGATTCTGAGGGTGAACGTCACACTCCTTCACGGTGACGGTCTGTTAAAGACATTGTCATCTTTAGATAACTGAACAGCTGTCACACATCAGCTAAAGTGCACTTACCTTTCCAAATTCAGTTTCAGCTGTGACTTTGTCACCATCACGACTGACGATGGATGCCTTTACGTACTCGACCTCAGGATCAGGCACAAAACATTCCTTCTTCATGTCAAACGGACGGGTTTGGGCCTCCAGACGCTCCTTGTCTGATTTCCTCAGAAAAGGAGCAGCAGTCCCAAACTCTGCCATAGCCGCGTCACCCATCTTCTAACCTGCTCCAAAGGTCAACATGTTGAGTCTCTTCTCATGATCTCAGTAAGATCAAACAAAAATAGTTGATCATTTCTTATGACAAGTTAGGGCACCTTTTGTACAACTATTCCATTACATACCTTTTTTAGTGGTTCTCTCTGAGTAACACACAGCATTTGCATTTGAATCAACACTTAAATCCTTATTAGCTCTAATAATTAGATGACATCATATGATGTAAATATGTTGCTTACCTTTGACTCTCAACCTGTAATCTAACACAATGTGGAGCACTGTACCTGACAGCAGTCTCACCTCCTTTAATAAAGCTTGTAGATCCACCAAATACGGGGTGAATATTCAGAGAAAGACTGCACAATGAAAAAAAGCTAAGTCCTAATTGGACGGGAAGTGCTGCCGATGCTATTTGTTGCTGTAACCTTGTGACAAACAAGGCGAGCACAATACTTTGTTCAAAGGAAGGGGAGGGCGAGAGGTGGGCTGCAGGGACAGGCTGGATATCAAATGACTCCTAATTTAATCATAGCAATCCTAACAGTCATATTTATTCTTTTTTTAATCACAACTGGTTAAATGAAGTTAAATAATTTGTGTTATTTGGGTTTTTGTATCTTGGACACCTTCGTATTATTGTCATGCTTTCAAGTGCATCGTTAAATGTTGACTCCTTTTGACTTTCAAATCAAATCAAATCACTTTTATTGTCACGTCACATGTGCAGGTACACTGGTACAGAACATGCGAGTGAAATTCTTGTGTGCGAGCTTCACAGCAACAGAGTTGTGCAAAAATACAATAACGTAAAAACAAGCAAAATATAAAAATGGCTAATCTAAGTAATAATATTTTAATTATATACTATAGTGTATTTAATAATATACTTTGAGCTACATTCACTGATTTAGCTGTTGTGGATATTTGTTAACTGGACGAGCAACACGGTTTGGTGTCAAAAAATCTAGTGTTTTCAGATCAGAAGCAAGATTTCCCTCCTTTTTTTTTATTTTCTCACCATTTTGTCTCGCAGGTCTCAAACAGGCAGGTGATGAACATTATATTAATGCATTTTAGAGAAAAACTACCAAGATTTCTTATGAAAAGATATCATTTAAGCATTTTCGGTATTTTCACTAGTGAGACAAAGAACAGTAGCAGCTGTTGCATAGTGACACCTAAGGTCAGAGACTCTAAATGCTCACACACCACTGCTCTGCCCAGGGAGGTCCACGCCCTTTGCCTCATGGTGCCGTCATGGCATTGTCCCCACTCCTTTGGCCTTCAGGACAAAGATAACCCTGTGAAATTCTTGTCTGGATTTTTCCTCCTGATTGTGAAGGGCAGCCTTTGAGGACAGTGGTAAAGTTGAACTACTGTCTCTGATGTTGTGATGGACAGGAAGAAGCAGGTGTGCAACCCCACGTCCATACTACATTACATTATGTTTTTGTCTTCTTTAATCCACTCCCAAATATAGGCTGTGTTGATATAGGTCAAATGATAAAAATGTCAAGTATCAATAGCTAAATGCACTTAAAAAGCTGGAAGACACGTTTTTTTTATTCTAAAATGCCGTTTTTAAAAACATGAACTCAACTTTGGTTTTCTTAAAGGGATGTTCCACCCTGGAGTGACATTTAATCTGTTGCCATATTCACCAGAGTTAGATATGTGAGGGAAAGCCTGTTGAAACCAGCCCAGGCTTTCTCCTAATCTGGCAGTTTTCTATTAGCTTTAGCTTAGCATAAACAATGTAAGTGAATGGTAACAACTAGCACCACTGAAAGCCACCGGTGCAAGGCACATGGACATGACACAGCAATATGAAGTCTGGCAGACGTGTACCTTATGAGTTTACTTTATAACCGCTGCAACATTTTATCCTAATGACAGTAATCTGTGAGTTTTGTAGTTGCCGCGTCGTCTCCTTTAGCCTCGCAGCGACGGCTTACAGCGATGCTTGGTCATTGTGCAGTCCCATTCTAAATCGTCTCCTGTCGTTTTTCTGTGTTACTTATCATTTCAATTTCCTGTCAGTATGATAATTTAGGTCACCAGGAAAATCATTATTTAGTCATTTTTTGGCTCTTTCACATGAAATGCTAGCTGTTACCATTCACTTACATTGTTTATGCTAAGCTAAAGCTTGGGCAGGTTGCTTTTTTCCACATATCTAACTCTGACATGAAAGGCAACAGGCTAAATTTCACTTAGGGGTGGAATAAGCCTTTAAAGAGCAAGTCACCCCTAATAAACTTTTTTTGCTGATAAACTAAATAAACGAGTGTCTAATTGTGCTGCAGACACGTGTCGTCAATAATTTGGCACTTCAGTGCATCTTAGTTAAAATTTAAATATTCTGCCTAAAACTGGCAGTGTTGTGCCGTTGTCAGGTGAAAACTCTGCACTGTATTTTAATTGAAATCTGCCACCGCTATTGGCTAAGAAGTATGCTGTGATGTAAACTGGTACCTTATGATGTCACAATGCTGTCGTGAGACTGAGTGTGTGTGTATTTGTTAGCGGCTCCGCCCTCTCGGTCTGCCAGGCAACAGCATGTGTTTCATTTTTCAAACAAGAAGTGGGAGTGGAGTTAGACTCTGGTAGGGGGTGACTTGCTCTTTAAGTAAAACTTCCATAAACGTGGTGAAAATGACACCAGGTTATATTTCTGTCAGACTTTTAACTTCGCAAATAAGAGGGAAACAAAACAACAGCAGAGGTGTTTATAAGTGTTTCAGTGGATCATGTGAAAATTGATCAGAAGTTGCGCTCACATTATTTGCCTTACTGTCATTCTCAGCTGTTTAAACCCCAGAGGACATCTCTGTTGGTGACCTTCTGCTGGCTTTCGTTCCAATCTCTTTGACTCCTCTGAGGGGAGAACAATTGTTCTTTGGTTTAAAGAACTAAAGGAGTCCCCTTCAAGTGCTACTGGTTGTAATATCTGCCAAACAACCGGAGAGCTTTTGTAAATCTGAGCCTGTGCCTCAAAATGTGATGGTAAACAGCATGGATGGAAAAGAACAACACATTTTGTCTTGTGATCTTCCCAGATACTGGACGTTGTCTAAGGACGGGTTCATGTGAGATGAAGGTCAACGCTCGTGTCCACCTCACACCCATCTCTCCTCCTCACCTCATTCATACAAGACTGTGATCTCGTCGTCTGTGCCTCCTTAGTGCTGCAGCACATCCGTGGTATACGGTAAGTTTTAGGTGTTCTACAAACTTTACAATTTAGACTATATTACTGGTGGACAAATGTAGACTTTATGATCATTTTTATTAACTATTTAGACGGTAACTTGTGGACCTGAGCAGCAGGGATTTTGTTGTTTCTTGTCTATTTCTTTGTACAACATGAAAACAGCAGTTTCTGTCACGTTGCGGGTGTGGATGACGGGGAACCATGTGTGAAGGAGCTGACCAGGAGGCAAAAATGCAGGCTCGGATAAAGTAAAAAAGGTTTTAATGGCAGAGCGGGAACGACAGAACAAAACAACGCTGACAACAAACAATGATCCGACAAAGACTCAAGCAAGACGGGAGGTAGAAATACTCAGGGAAACAATCAGGAACACGTGGGCAGATAAACAAGGGGCAGGTGAGAACAATAAAGACTAATCAGGAGGCAGGGGAGAGTCACAGACAGGGAGGCAGGAGCAGATTGTGACAGTTTCTGGATCAATAGTTGATTTTTTTGTTTGTTTATATGTAACAATACAGCACTTTTCCCAAGTAATCACTCGCATTAAATCACTTTGCTTCCATATATTTCAGCCACCTTAGTCTGTTTTTTTTACTAATCATGTATTTTATTTGAAACTCTTAAGTTTAAAAAACAACAACTATAATCATATCTTGATAATAATTAATACTTCATTTTAATAAGGACATATTGACAACCAAACCCCTAAACAATTACTAAACTTTGGCCATATTTGTATTACTTTTCATCTCTTATAACTAAGTAATTATATTTCATCATAAATGTGACCTTTAGAGGTCGACTTGTGGCTGTTTATTTGTCTTTCCCATCAGTGGGGTCCCTACTACAACTATTTTCTAGAGTTTTTCAGACATCTGACTCATTAACAGAATTAATCTACTGATCTAAATTTTACTTGGTGAAAATATACATTTTTATTGAGTGTTTAACAACTTTTGGGAGATTTATAATTTTACTGGCCTTATCTGACATTTTGATTAAGATTGAGCTCAGAAGACTTTTTTTCTTCAAAGTTAATGCCGACAGCATTTTGTTAGCAATAAAGGGATTTGGAGATGTACCGGGCCTCTATTCCAACTTGTACTTGTTTTCATTTTGTGAAGATTGGAAAACACGAATGTCATTACTTTATCATTCAGTCGGTGGGTGACAACAAAAGTGCTACGTTTATTGTTCTCTTGCATTTAAGTGCCACCGCTGGATAAATGTAGCCCTGTTCTGGCAATTCAGTGGTAACACAAATGATGGTAGCCCTTTACACTTTCTGTAACTAATAAACCAGAACAGAAAATAAAACACAACAGTTGAACTTATTTTTGAGTATGTGACTACATTTGTTATTTAGTTATTTATTTTTACTTATTTCCTATTTTGTCATTTAAACCATAAGAAGTTGTTGGTCATATAACTTAATTTTACAACTATTGTACCTTACATGTAGTTCCCTCTTCTCCTCCTCCCCTCTCCTTTTTATTTTTAATATTAATATTTCCAATGAGACAAAAATAAATAATAAGATTTTTTCCCAGCTTTATTTAATTGTAAAAGGCTAAAATGTTCCCTTTCAAATTGCGTAACAGAACTAAAATGTAGTTGCAGCCTATCACCACCGGATGGCGCCAACTTTCATCCTCCTCTTCTCAAGTGTAATTACAGCTTTTTGCCACTGGAGGGCAACAATACCCCTCCTCATTCAGAGTTTTTAATTGACATTTTGTGAATGAGGAGGGCTATTGACGCCTCCGAGTGGCGACAAGCTGAAACTACACTCTGGTTCTGTTAAACCGTTTAGAGGAGAGTATTTAGCTTCCTTATCTCACTGAAGCTGGGAGAAACAATCCAAGTTTTTGGTTTTGTCCTCTTGGGAGTGTAAATACTAAAGAGGTGAAGGAGGAGGAACTACTTTTGTGAAGTTACAATAGTTACTTAGTGGAAACACTTGATGTAAATTGTTTTATAATAAAACACTATGGCAATTCTGGTGTAAGAAATGCAGAAACTTGTTCTAACAGTGTTTGTTTTATATTTTATTTAGCTAAAAACACAATTAAAACACAACTCATATAACAACTCGTGTTAAGCAGGCTGGTAATGGAATTGCAGCATTTGTCACCAAGCATTTTAGTTTCCCACCAATGGAAAATTTTTAAAAATCCAGCAGTTTAAAAGGTATTCACCAATAAAAGAGGAACCAACAGAAGAGGCTCACGTTCAATGAAAGATTCCCAATCTGCTTTTTTTTTTTTTTTTTTTTGCTCTAGAGAAAAGTATGGAGCCAGAGGTTGTACTCTAGCAATTTTACTTTAATAAAATAACAAATATAGTTATTGTGCTGGGCACAGGCATCACTGCTCCCTCTGGCCACCACCAGCAGGCAAGGCAGGTAAAGTGTCTTGCCCAAGGACAAAACAACTGCAGCAGACAGAGCTCAAACCTGCAACCCTTTGGTTATTGGGCATGTCTTTAACTCCTCTGCCATTGGCACCCATTAAAATAACAAATGAAATGGGATGAAACACATTTCCAAATCCCTCTTATTCATAATAAAGCATCAGAAATGCTCCAGTAGGTAATGTGTTGATGTTAGAGCAGTCCAACTTAAATACTGATGGTTTTTAATCCTGAATGAATTATTAGCCTAGAGCTTTAGACAAACTGCAGCAGAAACGAAGGGTTTTGCTCAGCAGGTGGTTATACGTTTACATATATGGGAATCCTCACAGCAGCCATCTTGCCTCTGTTAAATTAAGTCTGCCCTAAAATCTCTTTATTTATCTTTTATTCATGGGTGACCCTAAAGCCCTGGATCACTCAAACCCCTCCACTATGACAAGCCCCTGGAGGATTTTTGTGCCTGTATGTTTTCATGTTTTGCATGACTGAAATGAATGAGGACTCTGCGTTACACCGAAAGCATTTTGCTTTATTCTACAGAATTAGTTTGCAGACAAAGAGGATCAGAACAGAAGATCCCAGAGGTCTGAGGTGGCCGTCAGCGAGATTCACTCCTCATCCAGCCCCCTCTGCGGTGAAGAATGTCAGAGCAGACAAGAAGAGATGGATTACTGAACAAAGACTCATTAATGATGTCATAAAATAATAAAATACATTTAAAATGACAGATTGTTTCATCAATAACTCACTAATATAATTCAGCAAAAAAAACAAGGAAATTGAGTTTTTTACAAAGACTGGTCTGAATTTTTTTCCTGTTCTTTGAAATTATGAATTTATTGGATATTTTTATTTAAAACAACACTTAAATTGAAAAAAGAGAAGTCATTGTATGTGTTAATAGCATTAATAAGAGAGCAGTACTACATTACATTAAGTGTCGAATACTGAAAGAGTCTCTAACCTTTGACCCCACATCACGGCTCTTGGCACGCATCTTGTTGACCTGAGACTCGGCGATGTCAGCTCTCTCCTCCGCCTCGTCCAGCTCGTGCTGCAGCTTGCGGAACTTGCCAAGGTGGGTGTTAGCCTGCTCCTCCTGCAAGATTTACCCAGAACATAAACTACACATCAGAACGTCAGCCCTCTCGTGTCGTGTGGTCTCTGCAATGGACAGCCCTTCAAAAACTGGTTGTATACATTTCTGCTAAGAATGTTTAAATTAAAAATGCACGTGGTCCACCTGCACAGACATGATAAAGGTTCGTGTTAAAAAGACAGACTGATTTTTTTATTATAACTCATATTACACTAAATTATGAGTGTTAGGAGTTGAATCTCAATAAGAAAAGCAAAACAAAGACTAAGTTGTGATCAGGATTATTAGTTGTTATTAGTGTCTCTTTAAGGATTCAATCCAGACTAAGAAGTAATGTGGAGTTCTAGAAAGCTTTTTGGCCTAAAGACATGATAAAAATAAGGAACGGCACATATAACTGAGACTTGGCTACATGTGGGAGATAATGTTTCTAGGTCACACTCACAGCTTCCTCAGCAGCTCTCTTGTAGGCCTTGACCTTCAGCTGCAGTTTGTCAACCAGATCTTCCAGGCGTGCAACATTCTTTCGGTCCTCCTCGGTCTGAATGGAGCGAGGCGAGTTGTGTTTTTAGAAACATCTTTGTTGAGAGAAACCAAACGTCTCCATATTGAGAGGCTACCTGATACGTCAGCTCCTTGATGCGTCTCTCATATTTGCGGATTCCCTTCACAGCTTCACTGCTCTTCTTCTGCTCTGACTCCACTTCGCTTTCAAGCTCTCTCACCTGAAACCATCCATTGAAGTTTTTTATCGTGTGGTCCAAACATGGTGTTGCAATGAACAACAAATGTGTGCATTATCAAAAATAACAAGGTGTTGTAACGTCACAAAATGGACTGATTTCAAAGATCCCACAGGTCACATGCAGCCAGAGCAAATAACCCTGGCTGCTACATGTTCTTCTGCATCTTCCCTTGTCAGGAGTCTGTGAGTTTGTACAACTCGGCATTTTAATCAGATGACTTCATCAGCTGAGCGCAGCTTCATCAGATAATAAAGATGAACAGTAGCATTCCTTTCCCCAAGGTTCCTTCACAAGAGAACTGTTTTAGATAAATCTTTATTCCCAGAAGAAAGAAGATTTCATAATTAAAGTAATCATTTTATAATTCAAAATAATCATTGAAGAAAGAAGATTTTATGATTAAAAATCATTACATATTGCCACGTATAATTGAGTAATGAAATGTTCAGGAATCTGTATTCAATGATGGTTTAGTAATGTTTACAGGATGAGGTCATCATTACACCAGACAAGAAGTAGGGTTAAAATTAAGAACGCATGACACATAACTAACCTTGTCCCTAGACTCAGAGACTCAGCGTCTCAGAACGTGTGTTTCTGAGATTCTTGGTAAGTCTGGTAATAGATAACAGCGGGTATATAAACCAGCCGCTCTGCTTTCTCAGCAGTGGTGAGAGCACGCTGGAGACTGGCCATCTCTTAGCAGATCTCCAGCTCAGAAAGGCTTAAAGTTTTTTTTTTGCACCTGTGAACAACAAGATAGTTTTGCTGCAGAACAAAGCTGATTTTGCAAAACTCCTTCAGAGTTATTTTAAGACGCGTGGTTTCCATCCATCTGTCGTGACCCGAGACACATCTCTAGGACTGAAAGGACGGCACCTCGGTACTCTACAGCCCTCCGGTGCCAGCGGCCATCCGACCACTCTGACTTTCGGATCCACCAAGAGGGTGCCTCTACGGTAATGTAGACACACAGATAGCGTCTGTATGCAGTTTGATAAATAACAGCTTATAGCTTATCTGCAAACCAAATCCTTTTATCCAGAATTTACCTCTCTGAAGATACAGAGATTCTAATTCATCATCTCATATTCACGTATAGTTTTCAGACACCCATCTTTTAGTTCCATCCACTCACAGGATAATAGTTTAAACCATTTGTCAAGTCTTAATTGTTTGTCAAATAAATTCTTATTTGTTTGCAAACACTGACTGGTTCTTGAATCATAAACGAAGTGTGAACGATCCCTTAATAATTAAAAGAATCCTAGAACCTTCTAATTAATCATCTTAAGACCAAGCAAGGTGATATTCTATAATTAATAGAGTATTACAGCTATTGGTCACAAGTAATGAGAATAGAAATAAATAGCTTTTAAAGCAACTTATTTAGCCCACATTAATCTACTATTTTACATTACAGTGTCAACAATCATTTAGTAAAAGATGTGCTAGTCCAAACACTGACAAGTCCGTTGCTACCATAAGAATGTTCCTTTCCTGTGTCTTGTATGTCAGATAAGGTGCCACCCTAGAGGTTACTCTTACCCGGGCCTCGAGCTTCTGCACCTGCTTCTTGCCTCCCTTCATGGCGATCTGCTCAGCTTCATCCAGACGGTGCTGCAGGTCTTTGATGGTCTGCTCCATGTTCTTCTTCATGCGCTCCAGGTGAGCGCTGGTGTCCTGCTCTTTCTTCAGCTCCTCTGCCATCATGGCAGCATCAGTGATGGCCTTCTTGGCCTTCTCTTCAGCGTTCCTGCATTCCTGCACCGCCTCCTCCACTTCGGTTTGAAGCTGGACTGAATCAGCCTCCAGTTTCTTCTTCTGGTTAATCAGGCTGGTGTTCTGTGTGTTTTTAAGATGTGAAACAACGAGTGTGAGAAAGCACAAGGAAACGTGTCTAAAGGATTGTTGCTTCTGAGGCACGGTCCCACCTGGGAGTGCAGCAGCTGCACCCTCTCGCTGACATCCAGCAACTCTTGCTCAGCGAGTTTACGACTTCTGTCGGTTTGCTCCAGAGCTGCTCTCAGTTCCTCCAGCTCAGCCTGGAGCAGGTTGTTGCGTCTCTCAACGATGGCGATGTTCTCTTTGAGATCATCGTTAGCTCGTACCGACTCGTCCAGCTGAATTTGGCAATCCTAAATGGGACAGCATTCATCACATTAATGTTTCATGGTGAAAAATCCCCAGAAAGTGTGACTTTATCATTTAGTCTTACCTTCAGGTGAGCATGAACAGACTTGAGTTGTTTCTGAGCTTCGGCCGCCTGCCTGTTGGCTTGGCTCAGCTGGATCTCCATCTCATTCAGGTCTCCCTCCATCTTCTTCTTCAAGCGGAGAGCTTCGTTCCTGCTGCGACACTCAGCCTCAAGAGAGCTCTGCAGGGTATCGATTGTCCTCTGCATGTTCCTCTTGCACTGCTCCATCTCTTCATCTTTCTCAGCCAGTTTGCGTTCAATGTCAGCTTTAATTTGGTTAAACTCTAGCTGCGCTCGTAATATCTTGCCCTCTTCATGCTCTAAGGAGGCCTGTTCAAAGGTGCAACGTTATGCATTTCATTATATTACAGTTTTATTTTGAAAATGTTCTTTTCATAAGCAGGAATTCATACCTCCGCTTCTTCAAGAGCAGATTGGATCTCACTCTTCTCCTGATCCAATTGTTTTCTCAACTTTTCCAGTTCGTGAATATTTTTCCCACTCTCACCAAGTTGCTCAGTGAGGTCAGAAATCTCCTCTATGGGACATCAAGCAGAATGAGATTCAAGAAAGTTTTTCTAGAGAAAGTTTTAAACTTTTGTTGTCAAAGGCACCTTGTAAATTCTTGTTCTCCCTCCTCATGGTCTCCAGGTGGTCCAGAGACTCTTCATAGGAGTTTTTCAGTTTGAAGAGCTCGGTGCTCAGAGCCCTGGCTTCCTTCTGGGAGCTCTCCAGCTCACACTGAGACTCTTCGTACTTCTGCTTCCACTCAGACAGGACCTGAAGGGGAAACACAGGCCAGGTCAAAGGCCAGATGAGTGAAGAGACTAAAAAGGTCAACAGAGATCCACAGTGTGTCATTAACTTCAATAGCATATATAGACGCTAAATAGCTTTTACTTTATCAATTCAAATTAGAAATCCTAATGACTCTCATCATACTTTTGGGCTAATTTGATAAATTTTTCTAACACTGTTGCTGCCTATGCAGAGAAGCTCCAAATAAGGACGCATCATTTTCCAGATGGGCACATAACTGCTGGTGTAACCGTTTCTAGGTTCTGGATTATTTTTGCGGCCAGCTGCTCCCGTCTACCTTGTCAAAGTTTCTTTGCTTCTTGTCCAGAGCAGCAGCAGCAGCGTTGGACCTCTCCACATCCACCATGAGATCTTCGATCTCATTCTGCAGCCTGTGTTTGGTCTTCTCCAGAGAGGAACATTTAGCATTCACCGCTTCAACGGCCTCCTCGGCCTCCTGCAGACGCTGAGCCAGCTTCTTCCTTGAGAAATCACCATTCGTATCATTTAATCTGTTTGCTGTTCGATACGTGATCCACAAGAGAACTTGACCTCTGTGACTGGCTGCCAGGTCGTCAAACAGACAAACTTTTTGTTCGTCTTACATTTTATGTGGAACATAACACAAACAAAAAGCTGACCTGCTAAACGAAGTGAAATGTCATTTTAGGATTTATGCAATGTTTCTACACTGAAGCCCAGCCTGTCTTACTTTGCTTCCTCCAGTTCCTCGGTCCTCTGGATGGCATCAGTTTCATACTTGGTTCTCCACTGAGCCACCTCAGAGTTGGCCTTGGACATGCCGCGCTGCAGTTCAGCCTTGGCCTCCTGCTCCTCCTCATACTGCTCCCTGAGGAGGTCACAGTCATGACGAGCAGACTGCACAGCATGGGCTAATGCGTTCTTGGCCTGTTCACATAGATAATATGAATGAGTGACAACCTCAGACCATTTCTGTGCAGTGCCATCAGATGGCTCTACAATATCTAACCTTAGTCTCCTCCTCTAGTTGTCTCTTAAGGTCTTCAACCTGTTGAGTGTAGGACATTTTCCCTCTTGTTAGCTGAGATACCAGCGAGTCCTTTTCTTCCAGCTGCCTTGAGAGCTCACCTTGAATAGAGAGGATAATAATTTTGAAAGCAGTTAATGTTACCATCAGGGGCGGCGTTAGGCCCGGCTACTTGGGCTGAAGCTCGGGATGTTTCATGAAAAGCCCCGGATCTAAATCGCGGAAGTAACATGCAGTACCAAAGTCCAACAGAGAGGGAGCAGCTGACAGTAGTTTGTATACAGCCTGCCTGAGCCTCCACCACTGAAGAAGAAACCCTTCAGCAGCCGGCTTCTTCTACACTCTCTGCCTGAAACGCATGAGTGAAGATGGACATAAGGACGTTTTTTAGACCAAAAGTACAACGACAGAACCACAGCTTTGATGAGACTGGTGCTGACTCAGGTTTGTGAGTCTTATTTGAAAATATTTATTGTGCTGCTGGTTTGCCTAAAGTTAGCTTACTATCAGGTAAAGTTGTTGGAGAAAGAAAGGGAATATTTACTATCGTCTCACACTAAACACTAACAGGAACAATACTCTGCCCTGAAAATGCTTAACATGTAGCTTCAGATTAAAAATGATGTGGTACAAGACAAATATGATGTTGACTACTGCGTGTCACGTGTGTGTGTGTGTGTGTGTGTGTGTGTGTGTGTGTGTGTGTGTGTGTGTGTGTGTGTGCGTGCGCGTGCGCGTGCGTGCGTGTGTTAAGCCCCGGATCTTCTTCAGTCCTCAATCCGCCCCTGGTTACCATTAGGTATTTCCTAGCAACATCACTGAGTTTACATGTTCTTAGAATGCATTTAGACAAAGAAGCTGCTCATTAACTGCGTGTAGCATTACTTGCCATTTTCTGTTTGAAGTTTAGCTTTTTGCATGTTGAGGTCATTGATGCATCGCTGAGCCTCTTCAAACTTAGTCTTGTATTCATTCATCTGATCTTCTAGAGTCCTGCATGTTTTCTCCAGAGTGGTCTGGAATTACACAAATCACATCGGAATAATGAATCAGCGTGAATTGCTACGTACACGATGACACAGGCAAAATCTGCGATGCCAACCTTTGTCTTCACAATATGCTCCATGTTGGAGACCACGTCATCAAGCTCCAGTTTGAGCTCGCTCTTCTCCTTCTCCAGTTTCTGCTTGACTCTCTGCAGGTTGTCGATCTGCTCTCCCAGGTCAGCAACGCTGTCAGCTTGTTTCTTCCTGAGTGCAGCGGTGGTGGCTTCATGCTGCAGCGTGGCCTCTTCAAGGTCTCTGCGCAGCTTCTGGAGCTCAGCCTCCCTCTTCTTGTTCATCTCGATCTGGGCGGCTGTGGCTCCTCCAGCCTCCTCCAGCCTCTCGCTGATCTCCTCCAGCTCTCTGGCCAGGTCTGCTCTCTGCTTCTCCACCTTGGCTCGAGCAGCTCGCTCTGCCTCCAGCTCTTCCTCCAGCTCCTCTATACGGGCCTGGTAGGGGAGGAATATTATCGTCTCTGTACCAAGTGGTTGCCCAAAATATTCAAATATGACACGGCTCGTTTCTCACCTGAAGCTCCTTCAGTTTCTTTTGAAGCTGAATAGCAATGGCTTGCTCATCCTCTATTTTATTATTGAGTTGACTGAGTTCGAAGTCTTTCCTGTAGTTGAAAAGTATCTGTTACACTCTAACTCTGATTTATGTATGGATCTGCAGATCTGTTTTGATGTATATTTTTTATGTCTGAGAGTTACTTTTTAAGATGCTCTTCGAGTTGCTGTTTATCATTCTCCAAGTCCATTAGACTCTCCAGGGCCAACTTTAGATCTCCTTCCAGCTTCCTCTTTGCCCTCTCGAGGTCCATCCTAATTTTCTTCTCTTGCTCCAGGGATCCTTCAAGCTACACAGTCGTAAAGAAAATCTAATAATAAACAGTACAAATTTCTTGGGTTGCGCATCAGACAAATCAAAACTCTCACATCGTCCACTTGCTGCTCCAGCTTGGCCTTGGCCTTGGTCAGAGTGTTGACTTTGTCTTCCTCACTCTGCAGGTCATCCAGCGTTTGCTGATGAGCTTCCTGTAAGGCTTTCTTTTCCTTGGTCAGCTTGGCAATGATTTCATCCAAAGCAGCCATCTCCTCAACCAGGTTCTTGACCTGTTAAAAAGAATAGTTCAGCTATTTTAAACTTTGCTCCATCCGGAACAAAAAAAGGTTCAAGTTTTTTTTTTTCCATTGTAGAAGAAATATCAAAGGATTTGACAAACCTTGTTCTCAGTAGCATGTTTCTCCTTCTCCACTTTTGCCAGAGTTAATTCTAGGTCATCTATGTCTTTCTTTAACTCAGAGCACTCGTCCTCTAACTTCCTTTTCTTAGCAGTCAGCTCAGCATTTATTTCCTCCTCGTCCTCTAGTCTCTCAGACAGCTCTTTTGCTTTTGCTTCCATCTGAATTTTGTTCTTGATCAGCCCCTCACATCGCTCTTCAGCATCAGCAAGATTATCTTGCTCCTAAAGGGTCATAATATTTATGATATTAACAGCATTTGAGTTACAGCATCAGTGATGGTGGTTTTTGTTCTGCTGCTGTAAAACTTACAGCTTGAACTTGGAGCTGCAGGTCGTTCTTCTCTTGGAGAAGAGAGACCGTTTTCTCCTCTAGTTCCTTCCTACGAGCTTCAGACTTTGCATAAGCCTCTTTAAGCTTCAGGAATTCTTCCTTCATGTTGGCCATCTCCTTTTCTGCCTCAGCAGATCTCAGAAGAGGTTTGATCTTGAAGAACAACTTCATCCAGGGCCAATTCTTGACCCCCATGAAAGCACGGATGTTCCACTGGATCACAAGCAGCGCATCCCTGTCAATTAGCAACCGCGGTCATTAAAACTGTTGCAACAATTATGAAGAGGGCTGCAGTTTTTGTTTGAATTCTGACCTTCTTTCAACTATCTTCTGAAATTCCATTCTTGCCAGCAAACCCCTTGATCTTGCCTGAATTCCAGTGATAATCAGTGACAACCGATCGTCCCTCATCTCCTCCAGTTGACCGAGAAGTCCAGCTTTAAAGAACACCTTTGAGGTGCACAAAGGTGTCAATTAAATGTCTTCTAAATAATACGTTCAAAAAGTACACACGCTTAAAGTCACTGTTGCTCCCATTTACTCAATACATTAATATTGACTATAATACTACAGAGTATTTTTAATATACCTTAGTGTGACCAAACTTGTACTGGTTGTGGTCAATGTCCAGAGAGCCAAGCAGTTTCTCTGCTCCCTTCCTGCTGTCAATGAACTGTCCTTCAGGGATGGCAGCAGGATTCAGGATGCGATATCTGGACAACGACACCAAATGTTGCTCAGTTTGCTTGGAGATGTGCAGTCTGTGACCAAACTACGATTATACCTCTGCTTGAAATCTCCGTAGAGGATCCTGTTAGGGAAGCCCTTCCTGCAGATCCGGATGCCTTCCAGAACACCGTTACAGCGCAGCTGGTGCATCACCAGAGGGTTCTCCATGGCCCCAGGAGTCTTGGTCTCATTGGGGATGATGCAGCGTACAAAGTGGGGGTGGGTGGACCTCAAGTTGGTCATCAGTTTGTTCAGGTTCTCCTGTGCAGACATCAAATTACTTTTCAGTTCAATTTTCTGGTTTATTAATCCATTGGGAAGCAATTATCTACAGGTTTTGATTTGGCTCTACTGACCCTGTGCAAGGCCGAAACTGTTTGAAAAGATGACCCCTTTTTCTTGCTTCCTCCTCCTTTGCCACCTTTTCCACTTTCTGTTAAGAAGTCAATGTACAACTCATTACATTGCATACATAACATAAACATAGCTTTGCCACTCATAAGCATGCTAAAGATGGTAAATATCTTTTAATCTAGTTTCACCTGAATCAGCTCCTGCATAATTTGCAAAGAGTGTAGCGAGCAGTTTGAGGTTGGACTTCTGGTACAGCGCAACAACGGTCTCATTTAGAGGATCCTTGTTCTTCACCAGCCAGTTGTTGATGTTATAATCAACAGTTCCAGCATAGTGCATCAGGGCAAAATGGGCCTCTGGTTTTCCTTTGACGATCCTTGGCTTCTGGAAGTTACTGGACTTCCCCAGGTGGTTGTCATAAAGCTTAGCTTTAAAGGTGGCATCGCTGGCTTTGGGAAACATGCACTCCTCTTCCAGGATGGACATGATACCCATGGGCTAAAGCAGAAAAACATAAGTTTAGAAACAGCAGATTTGTACATTTATCTTAACGTTGTCTCACCTTTTCTATCAGATCGATGCAGGCCTGCAGATCCATACCAAAGTCAATGAAAGTCCATTCAATTCCCTCCTTCTTGTATTCCTCCTGCTCCAGCACAAACATGTGGTGGTTGAAAAACTGTTGCAGTTTTTCGTTGGTGAAGTTGATGCACAGCTGCTCGAAGGTGTTGAACTGGAAGAGAAAATAGTTTTGTTTGCATTGTTCTTTCATAAATGTTGTGTTGGCCATTGCAAACATTTAGTATCAAACTCATCCTGCTCACATCAAAGATCTCAAATCCAGCAATGTCCAGTACACCAATGAAGTACTGACGGGGCTGCTTGGTGTCCAAGGACTGGTTAATCCTCACTACCATCCACAGAAACATCTTCTCATACACCGCCTTAGACAGCGCTCCAACAGCATAGTTCACCTGAAAGGGAATCCAAACTTTAAAATTACAATCATTTACCTTTTTATTGGTGAATCATCTGTTTTTATCACGCTGATCCCCTCCTCCATCAGTTCATTCATTCACACCTGCTGAACATTCTGTCCCTTGGTGACCCACTCGTTTCCCACTTTGACTCTTGGGTGACAGAGACCTTTGATGAGGTCGGCAGAGTTCAGGCCCATCAGATAAGAGACTTTGTCAGCATCTGAAAAACAAAGGTAAATAGCTTTGTTAGCATTGGGTATCTGCATGTTTGTCCGCTTTTAGAGTTCTTCTCTTGCCTTCAGTGCCATCTGCTTCTGCCTGCTCTTCACGCTGCTTGTTCTTGAACTTCATGTTACCATGGTGCATGATGGCACCAGTGAGCTTGTAAATGCCATTCTTCTCCTCTTGAGTAAAACCCAGCACATCAAAGGCCTCCTGAATGACAACAAGGTACAAATGCAACTGGTTGAGATTTTGTAAGGGATCCTTAACACTAGATAAAGATCACTAGAAGGTGGCTGGGTTGCAACAAGTTTAAAAAACCTCAGTGAATGCTGCTATGTTCTGCCAAATATGTACTTCCATATCCCCAGGATGGCTTCTAGTCCCCTAACCACAGGCAGGTTTCCATCCTATCATACACTCGCCTAAAGGACTATTAGGACCACCACACTAATACGGTGTTTGACCCCCTTTCGCCTTCCCAACTGCCTTAATTCTATGTGGCACTGATTCAACAAGGTGCTGAAAGCATTCTTTAGAAATGTTGGCCCATATTGATAGGATAGCATCTTGCAGTTGATGGAGAATTGTGGGATGCACATTCAGGGCACGAAGCTCCCGTTCCACCACATCCCAAAGATGCTCTGTTGGGTTGAGATCTGGTGACTGTGGGGGCCGTTGTAGTACAGTGAACTCACTGTCATGTTCAAGAAACCAATTTGAAATGACTGGAGCTTTATGACATGGTGCATTATGCTGCTGGAAGTAGCCACCAGAGGATGGGTACATGGTGGTCATGAGGGGATGGACATGGTCAGAAACAATGCTCAGGTAGCCCGTGGCATTTAAGTGATGCCCAGTTGGCACTAAAGGGCCTAAAGTGTGCCAAGAAAACATCCCCCACACCATTACACCACCACCAGCAGCCTTCACAGTGGTAACAAGGCATGATGGATCCATGCTCTCATTCTGTTTACTCCAAATTCTGACTCAGCCATTTGAATGTCTCTACAGAAATGGAGACTCATCAGACCAGGCAACATTTTTCCAGTTTTCAACTGTCCAATTTTGGTGAGCTTGTGCAAATTGTGGCCTCTTTTTTCTATTTTTAGTGGAGATTAGTGGTACCCGCTGGGGTCTTCAGCTGTTGTAACCCATCCGCCTCAAGGCTGTGTGTGTTGAGGCTTCACAAATGCGTTGCTGCCTTCCTCGGATGTAACGAGTGGTTATTTCAGTCAAAGTTGCTCTTCTGTCAGCTTGAATCAGTCGGCCCATTCTCCTCTGACCTCTAGCATTAACAAGGCATTTTCACCCACAGGACTGCCGCATACTGGTTGTGTTTCCATTTTCACGCCATCCTTTGTAAACCCTAGAAATGGTTGTGGATGAAAATCCCAGTAACTGAACAGATAGTGAAATACTCAGACCGGCCCGTCTGGCACCAACAACCATGACACACTCAAAAATTGCTTAAATCACCTTTCTTTCCCATTCTGACATTCAGTTTGGAGTTCAGTAGAATGTCTTGACCAGGAACGCCCCCCTAAATGCATTGCAGCAACTGCCATGTGATTGGTTGATTAGATAATTGCATTAAGGAGAAGTTGAACAGGTGTTCCTAAAAATCCTTTAGGTGAGTGTAAATGCTCACAATCACACCACATCCTGGGCTTTTCTGAAACCAGAATGCTAATGCAGGCTAGAGGATAACATGACTCTAATGGCGAAGCAGGGATGTAGTCCAGGTCAGCATGGCCAGTCCTACACCAGATACTGAACAACCGACCTGCAAAAGAGCACATGGGCCACATATGCATATGCCACCATGCTTGATCAAGGACCCATTTGGCAACCATCATCACAATGTTAAACCATCACGACTCTCCTGCAGAAATGTTTACTCAAAACAATTGTCAACCTCTCACATATACGTCACATCATCATTTATGTGTCTTCAGACTTTTGCCAGAACCCTCAACTTTATTGGACATTGCAGTGAGGTATTCAGCCCATGTGAAGCGAGCCTAACACGGTATGAAAAGTAGCGCTGATTACACAAATAATCACAGTAAGGACATTTCTCTACATTTGTACTCACATCAGTGGCAAGAAGCTCTTCAGCATCATTAATGGAGGCTACGGTCGTCTCTCCTTGGGAGATGAAGGCGTAGTCATAGGGGTTGTTGGTAATAAGCAGCATTTCTGAAAACAAAACATAATTTAGTCATTTCATGATACTCTAGAGACTACTGCGTCTGTTTGCTGGGATTATAATAATTAGTTGTATTTACCAAGCAGCTCAGGTTTCCTCTGTGACAGAATCTGATAGAAGATGTGATAATCTCTCTCAGCCTTCAGCTGAAAGACGACTCGGGACTTTTCTAGCAGATCTGTAAAAACATTTACGTCATGGGGATAGGAGGAGAACTTGGAAATAAGGGTAAACGTGGTGATAGTATAAAAAGCAGGCCACTCACATGTCTCAATATCAGCTGAGGCCAGTTTTCCACTGGCTGCAAAATGGATACGGATGAATTTCCCCTAGAATAAAATGCAGGAAAGTGAAAATATTAATGAAATAAAAATGAATAGAAATGTAGAGTGATTTTATTGTAGAAAGAGGCATACAAATCTGGAAGAGTTGTCATTCCTAATGGTTTTTGCATTTCCAAAGGCCTCCAAAGCTGGGTTACACTGGATGATTTGATCCTCCAGGGTACCCTAACAAACCCACACACACACTCTTAATAAATAGGAGCAACAAGTAGGTAGAACCAAGTTTTGTGAGTAGTTCACGTTTTAATTTCCTTACAAATGCTGAATCATCACCTTTTTGTCTGTGCTCCCTTCTTTTTTCCCACCAGCAGCAATGCTGGCAAAGTACTGAATGACTCTCTTGGTGTTGACAGTTTTCCCAGCACCAGATTCTCCGCTGAAGTCAGAAATGAATTGATCGGCACAAATGACAGCATAGCCACAGTTTTAGTGAGGAAAATGCTGGCAAGTCCTTTTATACATTATTATTCAGAACCATGCCATGTATAATTAAAACATTATGTTTTAATAACTAAAAGCCTACAGTAGCTAAAAATAGATTGTCACGTAATGTAGCAATGCATTGTGGGATGTAGTCCTAGACAAGCAAGCGTGCCTTTTGCATGGGTGTCCATGGGTTTGAGTCACTCAAAGTTGAATTTTGGTCTCCAAAAATTGTTCAGACAGGAAGGAACCAACCCCCACTGTTGGGGGAGGTGCTAATTGGACTCTAAATACCCAGATCAGATGTCAGAGCGGACATTTTTTTATCTTTTACCAACACTGGGTAAGGTCCGTGACCACATGAAGTAGCTGCAAAGTGAAACAGGCCAAGCCAAATACAGAGAAAGCAAAGTGGCTGCAGTATTTAAGTCATCGAAGAGCAGATTTTCACAATGTGGAGAAGATCAAGGGGAGCCTTGTATTTCTTCCTTAGATTTTGCTGAAGGGAAATGGCCTATATCTGAAAATAATGAGCAACGCTCTCAGATGTGGAGTTATCCTGGAGGCAGCGGTGGAAACCGAGTCCAGCTGAATGCCTCAGGTAAATAGCATCCAAACGTGGACTATAAAGGTGTTTGACCAGGGGTGGTAGTGACGCGAACGATCACCTAAGAGTAAAAAATAATAATTTTGGGGAAATGTTACTTGAGCAAGGTGAGTTTTGTCAGTCAGGTTGTTTTTATCTATGCCCAAGCACTCTGCCTGTGTTTTTTCAGTTGGGAAATGTGGTTTGTTTGTCTAGCACTAGCACCCAGCAGCACCCACTAGCACCCAGCAGCACCCACTAGCACCCAGCAGCACCCAGCAGCACCCAGCAGCACCCACTAGCACCCAGCAGCACCCACTAGCACCCAGCAGCACCCACTAGCACCCAGCAGCACCCATTAGCACCCAGTAGCACCCACTAGCACTCAGTAGTACCCACTAACACCCAGCAGCACCCACTAGCACCCAGAAGCACCCACTAGCACTCAGTAGCACCCACTAGCACCCAGTAGCACCCACTAGCACCCAGCAGCACCCACTAGCACCCAGAAGCACCCACTAGCACTCAGTAGCACCCAGCAGCACCCACTAGCACCCACTAGCACTCAGTAGCACCCACTAGCACCCACTAGCACCCAGCAGCACCCACTAGCACCCACTTGCACCCAGCAGCACCCACTAGCACCCAGCAGCACCCACTAGCACCCAGCAGCACCCACTTGCACCCAGCAGCACCCACTAGCACCCAGCAGCACCCACTAGCACCCAGCAGCACCCACTTGCACCCAGCAGCACCCACTAGCACCCACTTGCACCCAGCAGCACCCACTAGCACCCACTAGCACCCAGCAGCACCCACTTGCACCCAGCAGCACCCACTAGCACCCACTTGCACCCAGCAGCACCCACTAGCACCCAGCAGCACCCACTAGCACCCAGCAGCACCCACTAGCACCCAGCAGCACCCACTAGCACCCAGCAGCACTCGAGCGGTGACGTCAACAATAGAATACATACATATTGAAAACACAAACATTCATCCAAGCTAAAAGGTGCTCTGTGTATTTATGAGAACCAAATGAAAATGGCATTCATTATGAACATTTATTGTGTAATAAAGTCCTTTTTTCTAAATCAACCAGAAACACAGCAGTCGAAGGAAGAAAAGAAAGCTGAGCCTGAAGAGTGTAGCTCATTTCAGCTTAACATAAAATGACTTACGTGATGAGGATAGACTGGTTTTCTCTGTCTGAAACAGACATGAAATCATCTCTTAAGAACTACTTTTCACCATCACTGAGCATAATGCATGAACTTCAGGTAAGTTACCAGTCAGCATGTACTGGTAGGCATTATCAGAGATGGAGAAGATGTGAGGAGGAGCTTCACTCCTCTTCTTTCCTCTATAGGCAACAACCACCTCTTGGTTATAGACTGGCAGCCACTTGTAGGGATTGACCGTCACACAGAACAACCCAGAGTAGGTCTGTGAATAAAGGAACAAAAATCAAGGTGTAACAGGCTTAGGGTTAGTCTAATATTTACCCTAAAGATGGCAACATGTTGCTTTCTTAGCAATAGTTCCAGTGTTAAACTCACATAGATCATCCATGCTGCGTAGCGCTCTTTGAGGTTAAACAGCACAGCTGGCTCATGGAGGAAGGTGAACATCGCCATGTCTTCAATTTTATCAAACTTTGGCGGATTCTGAGGGTGAACGTCACACTCCTTCACGGTGACGGTCTGTAGAATGAAGGGAGTTGTTTTGAATGAAAAGCTGTTTTCTGTGACATGATGGGAAGGAGCTGCCAGGCAAACAGCTCACTGACCTTTCCTTTCTCTGTCTGAGCAGTGACTTTATCCCCCTCACGACTGATAACCGAAGCCTTCACATACTCCTCGTCAGGATCAGGCACAAAACATTCCTTCTTCATGTCAAACGGACGGGTTTGGGCCTCCAGACGCTCCTTGTCGGATTTCCTCAGATACGGAGCAGCAGCCCCAAACTCCTTCATAGTAGCGTCACCCATGTCTCACCTTATAAACCACCAAAAACATGATAAAATCTCAATGTTGTGGCCAAAGCCTTTAGGATGTATTTTAATGTATTTATTTTTGAGATCTTACCTTATCAGCCCCAGCTCAGAAGACAAGTGTTTTAACCTGAGGAACAAAAAGTAGAAAGTCACAACCCAGACAGGACTTTAGCATCACAGCCTGAAAACCATTGTCGTCGTATCTTACCTTGAGTTGGAGTGGTGACCTATTGGGGGCATCTGGGAGAGCTCTCTTTATAAATAAAGCCCCATCTGCCAAACATGGAGGGGTGCCTTAAGTCCAGGAATGTTATTGTGTCTGTTTGGTTGGGGAGGGGGTTAATGAGTGTGGAAGAGCAATATAGAAATCAGCGGGTCAGAGTCTCATCAGTGACGGGGTCCCCAGGAGAGGCCATATTAGGAGCTTTAGGGAGCTCAGCCATTAATCATAGGTATCCTTGACCATCCAGGGGACCTCGGCTGAACCTTTAAATAGACTCATGGAAGAATTCCTCCATCATTATCCCTTAAGCTTGCTTTTGTTGCCAAAAAAGATGCACCAGAGGAAGGCATCAACATGTAAAAATGTGCCATATTGTCTCACTTAGCCCTTAGTTTGACCTGAAAACGTGAATTAGTTAGTATCAGTAGTTATGAATGAGCAGACTTCAGTACTGATAACGTGTTTGTTGGTCCCTGCTCTTCTAACACAATATCTGCATCAGTCGTTTCATTCAACAGTGAAACATGTTTTACATTCAAAGGAATTTAAACACTGAGTGCTGCTGAATTTGTGACATTTTTCACTATAATTATAAGGAATGGTATAAATGAGAACCTGCTACGGTTGTCCAAACACCATTAAAGATGGGAGCCATTGTTTGGAGGGATATTTTAGACAAGTATGTGGTGATGGTCTCATTACTCTAAGAGCTAAAGCGGAGTCCCAGAGAGTTTGGTGATCACAGAATGGTTGGTAACAAAAGCAGTCGTCACACACTGACTGCGCCGGTCTTAAAAAAAGGACATAATTCTGTGGGATTAGACAGGCGACAGGTGCGAGGCAACGCGGACTAAGGTCTACCACAGGTGAACATGCTTGGCATTCATGGAAGGCAGCAAATATGAGAAGCATTTGAGGGGTTTTGCCACATGACTATGAGATGCCAAGGTCAGAGGAATAAAGCTTTAGTCCCCTCAGCTGCAGCCCTGTTTACATGGAGTTGTGTCTTTGCAGACAAACAACTGTGCCATGTTCTTATTGAGAATGCGAACTGATCAAGCAGAGCAGTCATCCAGGCTTTTGGGATCCAGTTTTTGTCTCACATAGGATCAGCTGTCGTTGCTCATGAGGTCAGTTTTACATAAATATTGATTGTGACTCACGAGTCATTCAACCATCGATGTTCAACTGTTTCAACCCTAATTTCTGTCATAACGTCTGCAACATATAGTTTAAATTATTTATACCAACTGTAGATCACAGGCAGCCCTGGTGGCCAGTGACCACGGCCTCTTCAAAGGTCAAGAGATAAAATGGAGGGTCAACAGCTGCTGACAAGTGCTGATTACTTCCCCAGCTCCGTCGCTGACAGCTGGCGTCAGTGTGACAAAAGGAGGTGGAAGATTCCAAACCCCCCCGAAAGAGCAAGTGAAGATAAGTCCAACCGCACACGTCAGACACAATAAATAAACCAAGTTTTAAATGCTTTTCTTGTGTCACAGCAAATGCACTTTGTCATCATGTGGATGTGTGATTTCATTAATGCTGTGGGACATCTAAATCCCTGTCTGGGCTTCAGTGCAGGAATTCACCCCTCCAACCGACCTGCACGGTAACAGGTAAAAACTTCAGCTTTGTCTTAATAGAATAGAATAGAATAGAATAGAATAGAATAGAATACCCAGAGGAAAAACAAAATTGAGGGTGTTACTTCCAAGCCACCATGCAAGTTTTAAAAAAAGACAAACAAAAACATGGAGGTCACAAAGATTGTATTGTATTGTATTTATTTTTCCGTCCTAACAAATACATATAAAACACATGAAAAGGAAAATAATTATCTAATAAAGAACATAATAATTATCACAGGTACAAATTCCTCTTGTAAGTTAAACAGTTTTTTTAGATATAATTTATGAACGAAAAGGTATAGGCTGAAGTTAAACTTATTTAAGCCTACCCATTAATTCATCACAAAAAATCAACATTGTCATAAATATCAAAAGTAAATAAACATATAAACAATACAGTTATTACATGCATCATCCTAATTTCAACAAAATCAATCAAGAGGTATAAACATGTGACAAAACTAATTTTGGTGCACTTGGTAATTGCGTAAGGTGTTATTTTTAAAACTCTTTTTGAATATTATCTTTCTTCTTTTTTTACAGTGTCCTGTCTGGCTGTGAAGCAAGCAGAATTGATGTCTGAATGCTGGTAACAAGCCTTACAGATTTGCTCTCAGGTGGAGCATCAAAGCGTCTGCTTTTAATGTCACGCCTGATACTTAAAACTTTAGTGTTACTGTTTTTGAATGCTTTTTAATTCCGACCAGACACGGAGACAGAGGTGAAAGAGAAAGGAAAAGACAAAAGGTGGGGAGAGGGGGGAAGGGGGTGGGGGTGGGGGTTCCACAAAAATACACAATAATGAACAAGGGTCTGCTTCTAGACCTGCAGAAAAAGACAAAAAAAAAGCAACAAAAAAAAGGGACACAACAACAATACAACAAGAGCAAGCTATCGCTGTGTCAACTTGATGAAGAAATATTTAATCAACATTGTTTAACTGAACAGTCACACGATAATAAATCACAGTGCATTAAGTGCCCACCATAGCCTTAAGACCTGTGTTGAACGTGCCCAAGCCCATACTTTTGAGAGCACCATGTGAGCACCTGTGTGTGTACACGTGCTTGTTTATGTAAGGTTTCTCTATAGGAGCGTCCAACAGAGAGTGTGAGGGACCACAGATCTGCCCCCTAAAGATGCGTAGGAGATGGGGGGAGCTCCAAGTCCCAGAGATCCAGGAGCTGCCCCAGAGTGCAGGAACCCCAAGGAGACTGCAACCAGAAAGGCCCCCGCCCCCCTCAAGAGGCACAGAGGATCGCCCCGGGGGGCCACAACCAGCAGCCGGCAGAGTCCCGGGAGACATCAGCGGCAAGCCCTCAGGCCCGCCCGCAGCCTCCCACCCCCTAGCCGGCCGAGCCCGGGACCCAGCGACCCGGGACCCAGAGGTGACCACCCCCGCCGGGGACCCAGCAGAGCCCAGGGACCCAGACCCCACCAGGCCGCCACCGGGATTGATCATGCAGATGCCAAAAATCTTAAACCCCCTGACCCGGGAGCCACGACCCAGGCAGACCAAGGCACCACACTCCACACCAGGTGTTGCAGGGGGAGGGGAGATGAAGATCTATATCATCAAAAGAAGTCCCAGGAGAGGGGAGGAGTCTTTTTGAATATTTTCAACGAGCATGAATTTTTTAATCTATCCTCGAGTCTAGTCCATAAACTCACTCCTCTTACTGAGATACGTCTATGTTTTTTATTGGTTCTAATATTCTTCTTTTTGAAAATCCCAGTTCCTTAGACTATGTCCTCCTTCCTTTGTTCAAACATCCTTTGGAGATAAGGTGGAAGTTGAGCCTGATATGCCTGATATACTACAGCCAGTGTATGCAGGTCAATAATATCATAAAATTTTAGAATTTTTAATTGGATAAAGATAGGATTTGTTGGAGCAAAATAGTTAGCATGGGAAATTATTCGAACTACCTTTTTTTGAAGTAAATATATAGGATAAATATTTGCTCTGTAATTATTTCCCCATATTCCCACCCCATAGCTCAGATATGGTAAAATAAAAGAGGTATAGAGTATCTGAAGGGATTTAATATTTAAAACAATTCTCATTCTACTCACAAGTCCTATATTTTTTGATATTTTTAACTTTATATCATCTATATGAGGCTTCCAACTCAGTTTTTCATCTATAGTAATTCCTAAAAATTTATAAGATCCTTCAATATTCATGATAAAAAGACATAATACAAGAATGTGTGCTGTGATAATTAGGAAAACACATCTTAACAGTTTCCATTTCATTTGTACAGCTCCTTCATAAACCAATGCACAAGTGAAACTAAAAATAATGGAAAATGGTAAAAAAGGTTCCTTTATTTCTGTTATTTCACTTAAAAGGTGAAACTAATGTATGAGATAGGCATTCCATGTAAAGCCAGATATTTCTGCTTTTATTTGTTATAATTGTAATAATTATGGCTTACAGCTTTTGAAAACCCTGCATTCAAAATCTCAGACAATTAGAATGAGTGTTACTCTCTAATCAGCTAATGAATCCAAAACACCTCCAAAGGTTCATGAGCCTTTAGCTGGTTTCTCAGTCGAAGTTGAATTAACAAAATAAATGGACTTTTGCACCATTTTTCATTTTTAGAGTTTCACTTGGATTTTGTGTTGTTCATACTTAAGGTGGTATTTAAACTTGTCATTTAGACACAAAACACTCTGTCATCAGACACCTAAAAGCAAATTCAGCAGTAGAACTAAAGTTTAGGGTATGTTTATATATGCTTTCTTTTGATATTTGTAATAATCGTGTGCACAATCCTTTATGTGAGTTTTCATGTTGTTTTTTGTTTTGAATCATAGCAATAAATGGGCCAAATTAGCTAAAAGTTAGTTTTGAACACACACACATATATGTGTGCGTGTGTGTGTTTAGCAGTTTGTATCAATGGTGTGAGAGAGGAGTATTTATAGGACAGAAATGAGGCTATAGAGTTTTCAAGCAGCTTCGGTTCAACCCACAAGGCGGTCTCATTACAGACGGTTCCACCTTAGGTCACTTGTTTGCTCGGATGAGCTCAAGTATCGTGTTAATCTTGCCGATAAGCCTCAACACATTTGGTGTTGTTTGCGGTGGACCGCTTTAAGCAGAGGTGTAAATAAGGATTCAGTAATTCTTAGATACCTGCCTGTCAGAGAGCAGCGTTTAGGAGCGTTAGACACGGGGCCTCCTTAAGTTCACTCAGAGAGAGTCTGGAGAGGTTCTCCTACCTTCTGCTGCCTGAAGCAACATTAACAACACACAGACTTGGCTCTACCATTAAGCAAAGACAAATGAGTAGAATAGTTGTATTAAATCATGAAAACCAACCAATCGTTTTTCTTTGTTGCATTATAACCTTAAAATCAGTTTAATACAAAAAGACAACATTGATATAATTTAAAAGACTGACACATTTGACATGTAGATGCATCTGTAAATAAATCTAATGACTGTTGCTTTTTATTTTTATCTTATTTGTTATATGAAGTAAATAGTTTGGTATTGCATCTTTAAAATCCCCTGTAGTCCTTTGAAGAACCATGCAGACTTTGGCAGGGATTGACTGACCAGCTGCGTGTGATTAAAGGAGGAATTATGGTACATCCAGGTTTAAGCGCTGGTTTATTGTTGACCTTGATGCCCAGTCGCTGGGGCCTTGGGGAACTTTATTTTAGGCGCAGGACATTTTTTTAATCTCCTTTTTTATCATAGCTTGTCAACCTTTCAATTTTTGTAACAAGGTGTAACATTTTATGTCACTTTAGTTTGTCACTTATTTTTAATTTGATTTTTATTCTTTGTGCAAATGAAAAATTGACCACGGTCAAAATGAGTTTTCTCCATTTCTGGGCTCTCCCTTAGAGATAGGGTGAGAAGCTCAGTCATCCGGGAGGGGCTTGGAGTAGACCTGTTGCTCCTCCACAATGAGGGGAGCCAGCTGAGGTGGCTCGGTCATCTGGTCAGGATGCCTCCTGGATGCCTCCCACACCTCCCTGGTGAGGTTTTCTGGGCATGTCCAACCGGGAGAAGACCTAAAGGAAGACCCAGGACACGCTGGCGGGACCATGTCTCTCTGCTGGCCCGGAGGAGCTGGCCCAAGTGGCTGAGGAGAGGGAAGACTGGGCCTCCCTGCTGACCCCATCCCAGACAAGCAGCCGAAAATGGATAAAATTGGCATTTTTCTCAAAAAATCTAAATAAGAAGCTAAATTAGCTAGCTTTAGCTATGCTAGTTTTTATATATATATAATTTGGTTGTGACCGAGTAAATGAACTAGTTCAGCTTCTCTGAAGACATGGTTCATACTACTCACTTCCTGTTCCTGCACTAACTATGGTTTCCCATGAACACACCTTTTCCAGGGGAAAAAAGAAAGATGAACGATGTGCAACATCTCAGTGGGACTTTATTAGCTCTACGGGTTAGGAATCATGACAGTTGAGGGGCTCTACGGATCACAGCAGACAAATAGATTTCAGCAGGCTCCGAAGCTTCACTCCTCCTCAAACCCTTTCTGCTGATGTCCAGAAACAAGTTGGAAACAGAAAAAGAGAAATGATTATTTAGTGTTCAGATGAGTATTTCTGTATTACTGTACAGCAATGACTTCTTTTCCAGTTTAATGCGCTGAATTTTTGAGGGTTTTGTGCTAGAAAATTGGAAATCGAGCAGCATGCAAGTTAAAAACAGCTGCAGAGGGTTGGTAGCGTCACATTGTGGTTGTTATAAAGTGCCGGCTCACCTTGGAGCCAGTGTCACGGCTCTTGGCGCGCAGCTTGTTGACCTGAGACTCGGCGATGTCGGCTCTCTCTTCAGCCTCGTCCAGCTCGTGCTGCAGCTTGCGGAACTTACCCAGGTGGACATTAGCCTGCTCCTCCTGGTTTAGGTGATTTACACAAAAGGTGTTTATGAAAGAAACCACCCCAGACTTCCACTGATCAAGCCCACTCACTTACAGCTTCCTCAGAAGATCGTTTGTAGGCTTTCACTTTGAGCTGCAACTTGTCCACCAAGTCCTGCAGCCGGGCAATATTTTTGCGATCCTCCTCGGTCTGTTGGACGAACAAATGATTTGAGGTTTCTTTTTCAAGACTTTGAAAGTGGACTAGTAGAGCTGCACTCTATGCATCACAAACCTGATAAGTGAGTTCCTTGATGCGTCGCTCATATTTGCGGACACCTTTCACAGCTTCGCTGCTTTTTTTCTGCTCCATTTCCACTTCGTTTTCTAGCTCTCTCACCTGTCAAATGTGTTTTTCATCATTTACATGCATGATTTATCCTCTTAAGTGTATCATAGATGTAAAGAAAATGCTCTTACCCGGGCCTCGAGCTTCTGCACCTGCTTCTTGCCTCCCTTCATGGCGATCTGCTCAGCTTCATCCAGACGGTGCTGCAGGTCTTTGATGGTCTGCTCCATGTTCTTCTTCATGCGCTCCAGGTGAGCGCTGGTGTCCTGCTCTTTCTTCAGCTCCTCTGCCATCATGGCAGCATCAGTGATGGCCTTCTTGGCCTTCTCTTCAGCGTTCCTGCATTCCTGCACCGCCTCCTCCACTTCGGTTTGAAGCTGGACTGAATCAGCCTCCAGTTTCTTCTTCTGGTTTAGCAGGCTGGTGTTCTGTGTGTTTTTAAGATGTGAAACAACGAGTGTGAGAAAGCACAAGTAAATGTGTCTAAAGGATTGTTGCTTCTGAGGCACGGTCCCACCTGGGAGTGCAGCAGCTGCACCCTCTCGCTGACATCCAGCAACTCTTGCTCAGCGAGTTTACGACTTCTGTCGGTTTGCTCCAGAGCTGCTCTCAGTTCCTCCAGCTCGGCCTGGAGCAGGTTGTTGCGTCTCTCGACGATGGCGATGTTCTCTTTGAGATCATCGTTAGCTCGTACTGACTCGTCCAGCTGAATTTGGCAATCCTAAATGGAACATTTGAGCTTGTAGCACATTAAAAAATACATGAATCCCTAGAAAGTGTGACTTTATCATTTAGTCTTACCTTCAGATGAGCATGAAGGGACTTGAGTTGTTTCTGAGCTTCGGCTGCCTGCCTGTTGGCTTGGCTCAGCTGGATCTCCATTTCATTCAGGTCTCCCTCCATCTTCTTCTTCAAGCGGAGAGCTTCATTCCTGCTGCGACACTCAGCCTCAAGAGAGCTCTGCAGGGTATCGATCGTCCTCTGCATGTTCCTCTTGCACTGCTCCATCTCCTCGTCTTTCTCTGCCAGTTTGCGCTCCATGTCTGCTTTAATTTGGTTAACCTCTAGCTGAACTCTCAGAATCTTGCCCTCCTCGTGCTCAAGAGAACCCTAAAACAGGAAGCATGTTTTTAATCAACGTGTATGTTCTTTCTTTGTAAATCTTTGTAAAACAAAATGTCATTTTAGGGATTCTTTCAACCGAAGTGGGGTAGTGAGTAAATGTTGCTCCAGCTTTACCTCTGCCTCCTCCAGCGCGGTCTGGATCTCACTCTTTTCTTGCTCCAGCTGCTTACGGGCCTTCTCCAGCTCATGAATGGTTTTCCCACCTTCACCAAGTTGCTCGGTGAGGTCAGAAATCTCCTCTGTTTAAGAAAATGGACGTGTTAAGCAACCGAGGCTTAGTTTTGTGTGGTGGCTTTCAGTGAATTCTACCTTGAAGATTCTTGTTCTCTCTCTTCATGGTCTCCAGGTGGTCCAAACATTCTTCATAGGAGTTTTTCAGTTTGAAGAGCTCGGTGCTCAGAGATCTAGCTTCCTTCTGGGAGCTCTCCAGCTCACACTGAGACTCTTCGTACTTCTGCTTCCACTCAGACAGGACCTTGACACACAGATGCAGATTAAAATGCTAAATCTGTTCATCCTCATTAGGATTGTTGGTAGTTTTTCATACAGATAGTAAAACACACGATTTGTGATCCATGTGGCTCTGAGCACAGTGCAGTCACTGTTTAAATGTAGTTTATTTTAAGGTTCACGCTTTCATATTCAGGTCTGTGTCGACAAAAAACTATAATCTTTGAGAATGACGAATGTTCAGTCATGATGTACAGCTGCAATACATTTTATCACATTTGTGCAACATCATGACCGAACAAACTCCCAGAGGGAATGCTGATGGACGCTTTGAAACCCTCCCTCCCCCAATCCTGGTCGGAACCGTGACACACTCGGCTGGCACCTGGTTGGGTGATCTGGATGAGACAATGAAACCTTCAAGGACTCAAAGCACTCTCCATTCCTTGGATCAATCACACCTCTGAGCAGTGGGGATTGAAGTGCATGTACTGGATGCACTTCTGCGAGCGAGGGGGGGATCCCAGGCTCCCCCCACCTACCTCTTGTGTATTAATGTTGTGACTGTCTAATTTATGTTGTTTATCAAGGTTTGTCCTGAATCTCCATCACTGCCCCTGCTCAGGAGGAGGGTAGAATGACCTGTTTTTTTTTCCTCATACAACCGCAATCCACCACCACCCCCACACACCCCACACCCCGGTTGTTTTTTTTCTATCTGTTACAAACAGGTGCGCCATAAAGGTGCACCTGCCCACAGTTCAGCCTGATTGTGTTAAGTTGTGTCCTGTTATGTTGTTGTTTGTCACATCTTGGACGAGTTGTTCTGAAACTGGTTCAATGACAATAACCATGCTGTCGGTCTAAACCTTGTCAAAGTTTCTTTGCTTCTTGTCCAGAGCAGCAGCAACAGCGTTGGACCTCTCCACATCCACCATGAGATCTTCGATCTCATTCTGCAGCCTGTGTTTGGTCTTCTCCAGAGAGGAACATTTAGCATTCACTGCTTCAATGGCCTCCTCGGCCTCCTGCAGACGCTGAGCCAGCTTCTTCCTGAGTAACAGAAGTGGTTTCCAGGGTTAAACGCTGCTAATGTGTCTGAGTTCCTCTGGTTAAGTACTCCTTTCCTCACTTTGCTTCCTCCAGTTCCTCGGTCCTCTGGATGGCATCAGTTTCATACTTGGTTCTCCACTGAGCCACCTCAGAGTTGGCCTTGGACATGCCGCGCTGCAGTTCAGCCTTGGCCTCCTGCTCCTCCTCGTACTGCTCCCTGAGGAGGTCACAGTCATGACGAGCAGACTGCACAGCATGGGCTAATGCGTTCTTGGCCTGGAAAGAAAAAGATTAGGCTTTTCCACTTGATTGGCTGTTTTTATTTATAAAGATAAATGTGTTATGTGGTTATATTCACACCTTTATTTCCTCCTCTAGTTGTCTTTTTAAGTCTTCCAGCTGTTGATTATAGGAGTTCTTTCCTCTTGTCAGCTGAGAAACGAGAGACTCTTTCTCCTCCATTTGTCTTGAAAGCTCATCTAAAGAAATGGATTGAAGGTATCAGGGAAACATGGCTCCACATGAAGCAGCTTTGTGAAAAATAGGTCTAACCATTCTCAGCTTGAAGCTTGGCTTTATGGGTGGTGAAGTCATTTAGCGACCTTTGGTATTCATCACATTTGGTCCTGTATTCGTTCATCTGATCTTCAAAAGTTCTGCATGTTTTCTCCAGAATGATCTTAACATTAAAACGGACATGATTTACTGTTAAACTATGTGTCGTTTGTTGCCATGTTAACCCATTCACCCATTCACCATACGTACCTTAGCCTTGGCTATCTGCTCCATGTTGGAGACCACGTCATCAAGCTCCAGTTTGAGCTCGCTCTTCTCCTTCTCCAGTTTCTGCTTGACTCTCTGCAGGTTGTCGATCTGCTCTCCCAGGTCAGCAACGCTGTCAGCTTGTTTCTTCCTGAGTGCAGCAGTGGTGGCTTCATGCTGCAGCGTGGCCTCTTCAAGGTCTCTGCGCAGCTTCTGGAGCTCAGCCTCCCTCTTCTTGTTCATCTCGATCTGGGCGGCTGTGGCTCCTCCAGCCTCCTCCAGCCTCTCACTGATCTCCTCCAGCTCTCTGGCCAGGTCTGCTCTCTGCTTCTCCACCTTGGCTCGAGCAGCTCGCTCTGCCTCCAGCTCTTCCTCCAGCTCTTCTACACGGGCCTCAGAAAGCATCATAAAACCTGGCTGTCATCCTCTTGGCATTTGTTTTGACTAAACAAATACTAATTATAACTATTTATTGCACAAGTTTCACCTGCAGCTCCTTGAGCTTCTTCTGGAGTTGAATAATTATGGACTGCTCGTCTTCCAGCTTGCTGTTGAGATGACTGATCTCAAAGTCTTTCCTGCAACAAAATTTAGGTCATTAAAACGCAGCAAACAATAGTCAGTGACCAGACTGATTACATGACATTAGGATCCTCTTGTACTTTTTCAGCCTCTCTTCAAGCTGCTGCTTGTCATTTTCAAGATCCATGACGGACTCCTGAGTCAACTTTAAGTCTCCTTCCAGCTTCCTCTTCGCCCTCTCAAGGTCCATCCTGATTTTTTTCTCTTGTTCCAGAGATCCTTCAAGCTGCACAAAAATAAGAAAAACAAATTTGCTCTCTCTGATGAACAGCACAGTGGCGGCTCATCCATTTGAGGGCTGCTTTGTTTTTATCAGTAAGTAAAATTATGTTTCTGTATTTTGTTTCGCTGGTTGAATTGGGGGGCAATGATGTTCATTTAATATCACACTGCTTGGTCAAACATGTCAGTGGGGGGTGCTGGCTGGATAACGAATCACGAGCGGGTGCCCGGCTTGTCCTGGGAACAGTTGTTAGAGCAGGCGGCTGGTTTGCCGGGGCAGCCTAGACGCGTGGTCGCTTCCATGTGAGAGTGTAGTCATGCTGGTCGCTGTGGATCTCTGAGGGCGATCACAGAAACACTGCAGTTCTTTGAGTTGACGCTGCCTCACTTTTGAGTTGCCGAACCGCATTTTTTTCGCTAACAGTTTGCTGGTTGAATGGGGAAAACGCTGTTTATTTAACATAACACTGTTTGGGCAAAGATGGGTTGAAACATAGCATGTTGGCGTGGCTGCTGGGTAACAAAACTAGAGCTAGGTAAGCTGACTGAGGCTAGCGGAGGCTATCGGGCTTTGCTAGTCCACCGTGGTCAAAGATCCGTGAGGCAACGTCACAAATCTTTGACCTCGGTGGACCAGCAAAGTCCGACTAACCTCCGCTAACCTAGGTCAACTTACCTAGGTCTTCTTTCGTTAAATAGCAGACAGGAGGTGCCTTCACTTTGGAGTCCCTCAACCACATTTTTCTCACTAAAAGCGCCCAGAAAAACACTGTTAGCTTTGGGTTGGTATGTAGCTAATTTCCAGCTGATCTCTGACCGTGGTAGAGCATGAGCTGTAGTACGCAGCCAGGATGCCCGGCTTCGATCGTAGTGGTCTGAGGCTCTGCTTGTATTTTATTTGTCCATATTAGAGTTCCACAAACAACGAGCATGACTACAGCCTCACACAGAAGCCAGGCGGCCGCGCAGGTCGACTGCCAGAAAGCTCCTTCTTAGCTTCACGGTTTAGCTCAGTTAGTTAGTTGCTACGTTGGCTCATTTGCTCACACCATAACAGCACACCCGCAGCTCCACCTCTTTTCCCATTTTTGGATTGTCTGGACGTGACAAAATGTGTGACACAGCTAATGTGGCGGTGATAGGATCCGTCCATTTTACTTCATTTAGTCAAATGAGAGAAATGAGCGTTGCTACGTTCAGATTTATATTATGTCCATGCTTGAGACACACAGGCTGCTGGAGACTGAAAACTCGAGGACGGACAAAAACTCAAAGCAAAATATGATTTAAATAAAAAAAGAAGTAGAAATTATTGACTACAGTTGCTCTAAAATGCTCACATGGTAGGCATGTGTGTTTATTTAGGTATTATTATTATATTCTACTTTATTTGTAAATTAGAAAATTTACTTTATCTGTAAAACAGCTGATTCGAAGGAGGGAAATATTAGGATTGTTTTAGAATTTTAGTCATGTTTTATAACTTTTCATTTTAGTAGTTATTATGGGCTGAGATGAGAAATATTCCGCAAATAGCCCCACCAAGATTTTTTTTTTTTCACCAGCCACCACTGGATCAGCAGAACACGTTAGTTAGGGTAAGACAAATCAAAACTCTCACATCGTCCACTTGCTGCTCCAGCTTGGCCTTGGCCTTGGTCAGAGTGTTGACTTTGTCTTCCTCACTCTGCAGGTCATCCAGCGTTTGCTGATGAGCTTCCTGTAAGGCTTTCTTTTCCTTGGTCAGCTTGGCAATGATTTCATCCAAAGCAGCCATCTCCTCTGTCAGGTTCTTTACCTGTAGCCAGGAACGACTTTTATTAGGTTTTCATAGAATAATCAGAAAACCGTCACTAATTTCAGTAAAGTAACGCGTGTCTTTAGTACCTTGTTCTCAGTGGCATGCTTCTCTTTCTCTACTTTTGCCAGAGTGAGCTCTAAGTCATCGATATCCTTCTTTAACTCGGAGCACTCATCCTCCAGCTTCCTCTTCTTAGCAGTCAGCTCAGCATTCATCTCCTCTTCGTCCTCCAGCCTTTCAGTCAGCTCTTTGATTTTTGCTTCCAGCTGGATTTTGTTTTTGATCAGACCCTCACAACGCTCTTCTGCGTCACAGAGGTTATCTTGCTCCTGTGAAGCACAAAAATGTATAAGTAATTATCGCAACAAGGTGTTACACTAAGAAGAGATTTGTAGTGTTTTTCATACAGTCTGGACTTGGAGCTGCAGGTCGTTCTTCTCTTGGAGAAGAGAGACCATTTTCTCCTCTAGTTCCTTCCTACGAGCTTCAGACTTTGCATAAGCCTCTTTAAGCTTCAGGAATTCTTCCTTCATGTTGGCCATCTCCTTTTCTGCCTCAGCAGATCTCAGAAGAGGTTTGATCTTGAAGAACAACTTCATCCAGGGCCAATTCTTGACCCCCATGAAAGCACGGATGTTCCACTGGATCACCAACAAAGCATCTCTGGGGGGGAAAGTGTTTTTCGGGCGGGTTAGAATGAAGTAAAGCAACAAACCAGTCATTCTTTATAGTTTAAGGACTCGTATCAAGCAGATGGAAAACAAACCTGCGCTCCACCATCTTTTGATACTCAATTCGAGACAAAAGACCTCGAGACCTGGCTTGAATAGATGTGATAATTTTGGCAAGACGCTCATCTCGCATCTCCTCTAGCAGACCCAGCAATCCAGCCTTGAAGAACACCTAACAATAGCAATTTCATTTTACTTTAATGTTTTAATCTTTATGATTATGTATTACTAATTTTTGCCATTATTTGTTTAAAGGAAAATGTGTCGATACCTTAGTGTGACCAAACTTGTACTGGTTGTGGTCAATGTCCAGAGAGCCAAGCAGTTTCTCCGCTCCCTTCCTGCTGTCAATGAACTGTCCTTCAGGGATGGCAGCAGGATTCAGGATGCGATATCTGGACAACAACATCAAATGTTGCTCAGTTTGCTTGGAGATGTGCAGTCTGTGACCAAACTACGATTATACCTCTGCTTGAAATCTCCGTAGAGGATCCTGTTGGGGAAGCCCTTCCTGCAGATCCGGATGCCTTCCAGAACACCGTTACAGCGCAGCTGGTGCATCACCAGAGGGTTCTCCATGGCCCCAGGAGTCTTGGTCTCATTGGGGATGATGCAGCGTACAAAGTGGGGGTGGGTGGACCTCAAGTTGGTCATCAGTTTGTTCAGGTTCTCCTTTAATATGATGTATTGTTTATGTCAGCAAATGTTTCAGCGGCTTTGCTGAAAGACAGAATGATGACATACCCTATGGAGGGCAGAAACAGTCTGGAATGATGATCCTTTCTTCTTCTTTTCCTTCTTACCCTCCGTTCCTTCACTCATGGCTGTAATTAAAAACGTTACCATGCCATATACACATACATATAATCATTTTTAATTTTCATTACATTGCAATCTAGATTTATGCACGAGGGTACCTGAATCAGCTCCTGCATAATTTGCAAAGAGTGTAGCGAGCAGTTTGAGGTTGGACTTCTGGTACAGCGCAACAACGGTCTCATTTAGAGGATCCTTGTTCTTCACCAGCCAGTTGTTGATGTTATAATCAACAGTTCCAGCATAGTGCATCAGGGCAAAATGGGCCTCTGGTTTTCCTTTGATGATTCTTGGCTTCTGGAAGTTACTGGACTTCCCCAGGTGGTTGTCATAAAGCTTAGCTTTAAAGGTGGCATCGCTGGCTTTGGGAAACATGCACTCCTCTTCCAGGATGGACATGATACCCATGGGCTAAAACAGAAAAGCATAAGTTTAGAAACAGCAGATTTGTACATTTATCATACCATTGTCTCACCTTTTCTATCAGATCGATGCAGGCCTGCAGATCCATACCAAAGTCAATGAAAGTCCATTCAATTCCCTCCTTCTTGTATTCCTCCTGCTCCAGCACAAACATGTGGTGGTTGAAAAACTGTTGCAGTTTTTCGTTGGTGAAGTTGATGCACAGCTGCTCGAAGGTGTTGAACTGGAAGAGAAAATCAATATATTTATGTTTCTATCCATGAAAGGTTGTTCAGAGCTCGGGTATCATTACCTTATGAGCTCACTCACATCAAAGATCTCAAACCCAGCAATGTCCAGCACACCGATGAAGTACTGACGAGGCTGCTTGGTCTCAAGTGACTGATTGATCCTTATGACCATCCACAGGAACATTTTCTCATAAACAGCTTTGGACAGAGCTCCAACAGCATAGTTCACCTGTAAAAACGACATAATGAGTAAAGTTGCATCATGCTAAAACCTGGATTTAAAAAAGTTAGATCTGTTCCTTTACCTGGGCGACATTCTGCCCCTTGGTGACCCACTCGTTCCCTACTTTCACTCTTGGGTGACAGAGACCTTTGATGAGGTCGGCAGAGTTCAGGCCCATCAGATAAGCGACTTTGTCAGCATCTGAAGAAAGACAGCAAACATTTTACAGTCACGCTGGACGACTCTGACCTAACGCGACAAATGGAGTCTCGACTTCACCTTCTGTGCCATCTGCCTCTGCCTGCTCCTCTCGGGGCCTCTGTTTAAACTTCATGTTGCCGTGGTGCATTATAGCACCTGTGAGCTTGTACACCGAGTTTTTTTCTTCCTGAGTAAAGCCCAAAACATCAAAGGCACTCTGTGGAGGAGCAGAGAGGCAAACCTCAACTCATCTAAATCATGTCATTGTTTTGTAAATGAGTGAAAGTCAGCATGAACAGAATAATGAAGGACTGACATCCGTTGCCATCAGTTCCTCTGCATCATCTATGGAGGCCACTTGAGTTTCCCCTTGAGAGATGAAGCAGTAGTCGTAGGGGTTGTTTGTGACCAGCAGCATCTCTGGAACAGAAAATCACGAGTGGATCAGTGCAGGGACACATATTTTCCTTTTTCGTTACTGAATAGCTACTGTCCATTTACTAACCCAGGATTTCAGGTTTCTTGTTGGAAAGAATCTGGTAGAAAATGTGGTAATCTCTCTCAGCCTTGAGCTGGAAGATCACACGAGACTTTTCCAGAAGGTCTGATGAAGATCAAACAGAGAAAAACTACAACATCCCGAAATAACAAGGAAAATACAAAGAAATGCATTTGGTCTTACATGTTTCAATATCAGCGGATGCTAATTTTCCTCTGGTATCAAAGTGAATTCGGATGAATTTACCCTAAAAACAGAAGGTTTCTATTTAAAATGATACTCCTGTAAATGAGAAACTAATTCAAACAATGTAGCCACACGGATGAAGAAGAAACCCACAAATCTGGAGGAGTTGTCATTCCTGATGGTCTTGGCATTCCCAAATGCCTCCAGAGCAGGGTTAGCCTGAATGATTTGGTCCTCCAGGGTGCCCTGCCATGGAAAAACACAGTTTTAGTTGCATCTTCGTGGGAAATCAAGTTATTAGAATGTGCAACAACATTGTTTATTCTATTCTAGCAGCTTCTACATTCAACTAAGCGTAATACCTTATCCTTAGCATTAGCATCCTTCTTGGCTCCTCCAGCTGCAATACTTGCAAAATACTGGATGACTCGCTTGGTGTTGACAGTCTTTCCCGCTCCAGATTCTCCGCTGTGAAAGCAAAATTAAAGATCAGCACATACAAATAACTCTTTTCAAAACATAATGTGCAACAGATCCACTTCAAAATCATACGTGATCAGAATTGACTGGTTTTCACGGTCTGCAAAAAAGATTTGGAGTAAGAAGAATGTTGTTAGTAAATATGTAAAATAACCTCTATTCTGAGCAGTTTCTATGTAATGAATCTGTACCTGCCAGCATGTACTGGTAGGCATTATCAGAGATGGAGAAGATGTGAGGAGGAGCTTCACTCCTCTTCTTTCCTCTATAGGCAACAACCACCTCTTGGTTGTAGACTGGCAGCCACTTGTAGGGATTGACCGTCACACAGAACAACCCAGAGTAGGTCTGCGAGCACAGAGGAAATGGTGTCACTCACAAAGTCAGGCTTTTGATAAATGTTACTGTTTATGCGGTAAACTCACGTAGATCATCCACGCTGCGTAGCGCTCTTTGAGGTTAAACAGCACCGCCGGCTCATGCAGGAAGGTCAGCATGGCCATGTCTTCGATTTTATCAAACTTGGGTGGATTCTGTTGCAGAATGTCCGACTCTTTAACAGTCACGGTCTGGAGGGAGTACACATGCAGTGACCCTGAGTTATAAACACACATTTAGACGTTCTGGTCTGATTTTCTTCTTCGTTTAAATTAGCCACATATTTATTGGTAATATCTACTTGTGCTGTCAACATTAGGTGTCTTAATAATGGCAGGTGGCGGTGACACCCTTCGTCATTCATCGTCATGGTAACTGGCATCCCTTTGAACTCCTGGTCACACTCTCTTAAGTGAAGACGTTTTTAAAATTACACACAGATTTGCACTCGCGGTAACACTCACTTCCAGACATGAACACACACACAGATTCACACACCAGACAGGCATATTAAATGAATCTGATTCGGCAAATAAGTTAACGGTGCAGCTATGGTGATAAAACTATGTAGCTGAAGCTAACTATTCCAAAATTAAACACTCACTTTCCCATTCTGTGTCTCCACCGTGGCCTTGTCTCCATCCCGGCTGGTTATGGTTCCCTTCACAAACTCTTCCACCGAATCTGGGACATAGCATTCCTTCTTGATGTCAAACGGACGTGTGGAGGCCTCCATACGCTCCCGGTCTGACTTCCTCAGGTACGGTGCAGCTGCACCAAACACTGACATCTCTGCATCCCCCATGGCTGCTCCAATGCACACAGACACAGATCACTGAAAGATCTTTTCACTGTTTTTTTACAGTTCTTATATCCCCGTGTTAACAAATGACATGAACATTTAAACATCACTAAGAAACAATCATTTATTGGACTTAAACTGAAAGTGCCGCCATGAGATCCTTGTGAAAATGGAAGTTTACCGGTGAGTTTAGCTCAGGTAGAATGTGAGCTCAGGCTTGGGGGAAAATTCTTGATATACCTGCATGAAGAAGAAAAACATAACCAGCTGAACTCAAGTTATAAAATATTAAAACAGCAAATCAGCTTTGGTGGAAACAATAGCTCAGATTTCCTGTTATTTATCTGGTTATGATAAGTAGATCCCAAAAGGAATCTCAAAACCCTCTAATAAGGTTTTCATTATTACATCACTCCTCTAGTTATTCTCCTATGAATACCTAAACTGTTTATAGTGACTTTGAACTGTGAAGACATTTAAGAATAATTAGAAGCAGCACAAACATATTTAAACAGTTCATACTTACAGAAGCCAGGTGAAGAGGAAGTGTCTGTTAGACCTGCAGGCATAGCTGGTATCAAATATATAACCCCAGATAACCTGCCTTACAAGGCCAAGGGCACCACCCTGACCTGATTACACACACACACACACACACACACACACACACACACATCAGGTGTACCATACAGCACATACTTCAGTGCCCTGACACACACACATCTACACACCAAAGTAATCTCCATCACTTTTATCACTTATGACAGAGCTGGTTTTGGCTGCCCTCTCCACTTGCTTGTCTCTACCTCTCGTGTCCAAATAATGTGATTTTTCGGGCGCAGTGCCAGGAATTTTCCGTGGCATAACTCGTCCGTGACTTTCTCCGAAGCATACCATCTCTATCTCTAATTCTGCCACACGTTTCCCTGTCATCTCCCCTGCTAAATTCTTTTTCCGGGTGAGGATTGATCATGAACAGAAACCAGATTCCTTTTGCTGCCATGGAGGAGGAGGAGCAGGAGGGGCATGAGCCAGTGCCTGCTGCTGATGTTCAGAGGTCACTTTTAACGGGCGGATTAATCGGAATCGGGGCTTGGTGATCAGCTACGACGTGGCGTTTGAAAAGACAAATATGCAATGACTAAACCAGCAGACGTTGTCTGGCATGGTGTTAATCACATGTGACTGTAATAATGTGCCTTCAAGCTGTGCTCCGTGATTTCAACCACATTGCAGGTCCATTTCAGTGGAGGGAAACGGGAATATCTCAATATCCTACAACTCAGCAGGAATGGAGAAACAGAGTTGAGGAATGAGACACAGGATTTAAATGTAGTTACTATTATTATTATTATTATCGTTGTTGTTATTAAGTCCTGGACTGTTCATTGTCACTAACTCACTCAAACATCTTGCAACATTGCAGCATCCAGACGTTCATGCCTGAGATAGCATCCTCAATAACCAAGTGGTGAAAGTCATCAAGTGGAGGAAGGAGACCTTAAGGTTAATCTGAAACGCTAGTGTGTGTGTGTGTGTGTGTGTGTGTGTGTGCGTGCGTGCATGCGTGCGTGTGTGTGTGTGTGTGTGTGTGTGTGTGTGTGCATGTGTCTGAAAATGATGTCAGGAAGAGGGCAGAATAGCACAAGAACCACTTGAACACAGCGCCCTGGAGGCCAGATAAAAGCTCCACCTTAGGGCTGCAGATACTTTATCTGTGGGTAAAGATAACCTAGAGTGTGGCATGATTGTGTTGGGTTTACCTTCAGCATTTAAAGGTTTGCGCAGTTTTAACTCTGAAGTATTTTTTCAAGAACTGGAACTATTTCTACTACCACTACTTATATTTAAACAGTGACGTTATTCAAACACACACACTCACACACAAAATTCACTTCACTTTATTGACCTTCTACAACTAGATGCCCAACAAAACAATAAACATTTAACCAGAACATACAAAAAAGTAATAGAGAGCAATCTAAAAACAGGATCAAGTTTCAATCCCTCAGTTTGATGGAGCAACAAAACTATATATATTCAATATATGTATTCCATCAAGGAATATATAGCACAATTCAAGAAACCATTTACTGTCATTGCCATATCAGAGACATGGATAACACATAAAAAGGAAGGAAATGTTGAATTGTATGGATATGACTTTATCCACCAAGACAGAATAAGAAAAAAAGGATGAGGGGTGGCACTTTATATTGACAAAAATCTTAATTACAAAAAAGCAGAAATGATGACGACTACTATTGAGGGAGTGATGGAATGTGTAACTGTAGAAATATGCATGAAAAAAAGAAGAACATATTAGTAAGCTGTATATATAGAACACCAGGCTCTAAGATTGAAACATTTAAGAATAAAATGGAGGAGATGGTTACAAATTTGTACCAGAAGGGAGTGTTTATTTGTGGAGATTTCAATATAGACTTGCTAAATCCAAATAAAAACAAAAGTACAGAGGAATTTATTGATATAATGTACAGTCTAGGTTTATTTCCATTAATAACCAGACCGACTAGAATAACATTACACTGCACTACTTTAATAGATAATATATTCACTAATATAACATAAGAAAAGGTGGAAAGTGGGTTATTAATAAGCGATATGACTGACCATCTACCAGTCTTTGCTTCTTATGACTGTCATTACAAAAATGAAACAGAAGAAACTAACTATATGTATAAAAGAATGAAAACAGAACAGAGTCTTAAAAATGATCTATTAGAACAAGATTGGAATATTGTTTATGAAAAAAATGATGTAGACCAAGCATATGATACCTTTTTAAATATATTTGAAAGTCAATTTGACAGAAACTGTCCAGTTATCAAAAATATTCAGAGGAATAAGTATAAAGAAAAACCGTGGATGACAAAAGGACTACAAAATGCATGCAATAAGAAAAACACACTTTACCGAGAATTCATAAAAAACAGAACTACAGAAGCAGAACAAAAGTACAAAAGATATAAAAACAAACTCATAAATATAGTGAGGAGCTGTAAACGTGAATATTTTATTAAAAAGTTAGAGCACAATAGAAACAACATAAAAGACATCTGGGAAGTATTAAATGGTGTAATTAGGAAAGAGACAGGGAATAATAACTATCCACAACATTTTATAGAGAGAAAAAATAATATTACAAACATGAATGAAGTAGTGGATGAATTCAACAAATATTTTGTAAGCATAGGATGTAAATTGGAGGAAAAAATAATAGTTTATGAGATACAAACAGATGCCACAGAGTATGTTGAAAGAAATAAAAATTCTGTTTTTTTAAGAGCAGTTGATGAGAAGGAGATTTATGAGATAGTTAGAAATATGAAGAATAAAACCAGTACAGACTGGAACGATATTGACATGAAAACACTGAAATGTGTGATTGAGGGCATTGTAAAACCATTAACACACATTTGTCATCTTTCTTTTCAAAAGGGTTTTTTTCTGAATAACATGAAAGTAGCAAGGGTAATTCCTATTTACAAGACAGGAGATAAGCATCAATTTACAAATTATAGACCTGTGTCAATACTATCACAATTTTCCAAAATATTAGAAAAGCTGTTTGTTAAAAGATTCGATAATTTCGTTGATCAATATGAGTTGCTGACGAAATGCCAGTATGGCTTCAGGAATAATAGGTCAACAGTCCAGGCACTGATTGATCTTATTGAGGAAATAACAAAATGCATTGACAAAAAGAAGCATGCAATAGGGTTGTTTTTAGATCTGAAGAAAGCTTTCGATACAGTAAACCATGACATATTGATGAGAAAAATGGAAAAATATGGTTTCAGGGGTATAGTACTGGACTGGATAAAAAGTTATTTATCAAATAGACAACAATATGTGCAAATAAATCAACATAAATCAGGACTAAGAGAGATACATTGTGGGGTACCTCAAGGATCAGTCTTAGGACATAAACTATTCATAATGTACATAAATGACATTTGTAGGGTTTCACAAGTATTGAAGTTTGTATTGTTTGCAGATGACACAAATGTTTTTTGCTCGGGTGTGGAATTGCAACAGGTCCTGGATGTGGTCACACAGGAAATAAATAAATTAAAAAAATGGTTTGATGTAAATAAACTGTCACTAAATTTAGAGAAAACAAAATGTATGTTGTTTGGTAATGAAAGAAGATACAATGAATTAGATATAGTAATTAATCATGTAAAAATTGAGAGATAATATGAAATAAAATTTCTTGGGGTGGTCATAGACAGCAGGATCTGTTGGAAGCCACACATCAAATATGTTAGGGGGAAGCTTGCACGGGGCATTGCTATATTGGGGAACGCTAAGTATATTTTTAATCAGAAAGCACTTTATATATTATACAATACGATGCTACTGCCATATTCGAGCTATTGTGTAGAGGTCTGGGGAAATACGTACAAAAGTAATTTACAAACAATAACGACAATGCAGAAAAGGGCTATCAGGTTAATAACAAATGCAGGATATTTGGATCACACAAATGAACTTTTTATTAAAACGCAGACAATGAAGTTCCAGGACTTGGTTAAATACAAAACAGCACAAATAATGTATAAAGTACGAAATAAATTAATGCCTGATAAAATACAGAAACTGTTCACAGAGAGAGAAGGAGGATATAACCTGAGAGGGACACTAAACTTAAAGATACATAAGTTTAGAACAACATTAAAACAGATGTGTATCACAATAATAGGGGTTAAATTATGGAACAATTTAGAAGAAGAAATCAAAGTAAGTACAAATATAAATGTGTTTAAAATGAATTATAAAAAACATATTCTGAACAAGTATATAGTGGAAAATAGATGATTTATGTGGGTGTCCTTTATTCTAAAGAAAAGTAAATTGTATCAATTGTAAAAAGATGTTTTATTTCTTTTTTGTTTTTTTTTTCCATATAGTTTGGTGGTTTTTGGTGACTTGTACCATTTTGTTTGTTTTAATGTAGGTTTTGTGTTAGATTTAGTAAACAAGTAAAAATTACATGTATAAAGGGGTAGGGATATATAAGTTTCCACTTCAACCTACTCCTTTTCAAACACAGAAGAAGGGATGATATGTATTTTTTCTGTTTGTGGTATTTAAAAAAAATGTATGTTTTCTTTGTTTGAAATAAACTAAACTAATATTTCCGTATGGAACAGATGCGTTTTCAGACACGATTTATAACCAAACAACAAAGAAGATTGGCATACAGCCAAAAGCAGTACATTCTGGAGGGCACCAAAAACATGGTCCCCCTAGACTTGTACTTCGAGTTGCGGATGGTGAGCTGCTGCCCCTCAGCCAGCAAGCAAAGAGCCCACAAAGGAGCATGCCTATGCAGCAGACTGGCATGGTAAGGTGGGCCCATTCCCTGATGCACCTTAAATACCAGGAGCAGCATTGAAAACTTTACCCTATACTGCACTGGGGGGCCAGTGCCTAAATGCAAGCACCGGAGTGATGTGCTCTCTACATCCAGTGCTCGTCAACAACCTAGCTGTGGAGTTTTGGACCAGCTGCAGTCTTGCATCCACTCTGCGG